CAAACAATATGTATTTCTTCAACTCATTGGTGATTCAGAGTTACTGAGAAACAAACAATTACTCATAGCTAATTACATTAAACATAAATGGGCTGAAGGCTTCATTATCAAGAACATGAAACTGTTGATGAGATATCGTTATTTATGACTCACTCCAAATGGAACAAGGGAACGAAAAAGTGGTGTGCTTAGAGTGGACAGTTTCGATAGCATCGATGGGATTGACTCTAATTCCAACCTATCGTTCCGTTTACCGACATGTAGAGATTGATTGTTTTGACATTATTCCGCACACATAGACATTACAATTTCAGACATTAATAGGAAGTGTCATCCTACAATTTCTCATACAAATTACTGTAGTTATAAATTAAATTTTCACTTCGCTTCATTACGTTTTGCACTTCTTGGGGGGAGGGAGAGGGAGGAGAGGAAGAGTGAATGACTGAGCTGTCAGTTTCGGACGTGTAACAGTCATTAGTTGGTTCGAGTCGACTAATTGAAGTGTTTTTGCACGTGGATTAATATATCTCAGAAACTAAAAATCGGATCTGCATACTGTATAAAAATGGAAATGTCCAGCAATTCATTCTCTTTGTAATGAGCTATATATCAAAATTGTATTTTGACGTGACGCCGAGTCAGAGAGTCTGAAAGGGAAAATGATGATGCCAAAAATCAGAGCAATTATTTTGAACATTTGAAATAAAATATCTCAAAAATCTAATATCATGTAGCATTCAGGAACCGATTTGCGGAAGTCAATATACATATTTCTTTAAATTAACCATAAAAATAAGAAATAAAGTGTTTTTTATTCGATTTTCTGTTGCACTCGATAGAGTTTCTACAAATTACTAGGAGCTCTAGCGTCGGATAAAATACGCTGACAGAGCTTAAATTTACAATTTTCAAAATGTCACCTTTATCACCTTTAGATTTATTTATTAGAAAAACTCAAGGTTTCTTCTTGAGAGTAATACAAAATTGATAAATATAAACAATTAAAGAATTTGATAATTCACTAAAGCATAAGATGGGAAAAACAATTTTCTAAAATATGATTATTAATATATATTTTTTATGTACCATTCAAAAGCAAAATATTAAAAAAAATAATTTAACATATAAGTTGTAGATGGTGATGGAGAGTAAAGAAAAATAAATAGCTTTTAATTATTTTTGTTAGGAATGTCCAATTTTATCGAATATTAGTTATTAATATATTTTATTTATTTATTTAGAATTATAATAATCTGTCACGTGGACAATAGTTTATAGTAATACATGAACACATTCACAACATATATACAGATAATATAAAATTAACAAAAGTAAAATAATAATCAAAAACTATGTACAATAAAAAAAATAAAATAACCTAAAGATAAGTAAATTAAAAAACATAAAAACACAGTCATACCTATATACAATATATACAATTAGGCGGGGTACCCCAAGCCATGCTTCTCTCCCAACTATAGAAGGAGGACTCCAAGAGATCCCTGCGCCACTCTCTCAACCGCGTCACTGGTACCAAAGCCAGTGGAGTCTGAGCGAGAGCGCTATAGCCACATACACTCATGTCTTGAGTGGAGAATCTGGCCATTGCCAGAACTCCAAGATATATACTACAAAAGATCTCTGACCCACTGTCGCTTAAACTTTCGAGGAGGATTGTAGGGATGAGTGGAACTAGATAGGGATTGTGCTAGGGAATTTGGATGATTTATAAGGTTCTGATGGAATTTGGTGAATTTTTTAGGGATAAGGTCGAGGACAAATGGGATATTAAGGTTGTGGTGTAGGATTTTGTTGGTTACATAGAACGGAGTATTGACTATTGTTCGGCGGACTTTGGACTGAAAGGATTGGATGTGTTTGATAGTTAATAATATTAAGAAGATTAAAGAGAATATCAAATATTAGGTATTTTATCGAATAAAAAATTAACGTCTCTGTAGAAACATATCTATATGCATACGTATTGACAGAACATGTCGTCGGTTTATTACTAAAAGTCACTAAGTACACTTTGGGTCGATTTAAACTTGAAGTTACATAGTTATTAATTTCGATCATATTTATCGATAGAATGACTTATTAAGTGCATAGGAATAATACAAATCCTTTTATAGTTAAAAAATCTGGTGCGCTTAACACACAGCTTTCACTTACCGCTCTTTGAATAGAAATTATTATCTGGCAATGTTGGGCTATTACAAAATTTTTGAATTGCATACTAAACGGAGCTAAAGCTTAAATCTTACATATAACAAATCATAAATACCATTAAAATAACAAAAATACTATTCATTATATCGATGGCAGGCAATAAAAATCTAGTTATTCCATCTGCTTTTATAAACCAAACAACTTCAGAGTCTCTGAGCCTTTCAGTTGACAGAATGACTAACTCCAATTTCAATATTTTTGAGTAATTTCATTTTAGTGATATTTCTAGTAGGAAAAGTTATACTATGCAGAGAGTAAATTGAATCCAGAGTAGGTGATTGCAGTGTTGAAATATAGAAATGTGAGTAAATGTATCAATTTTGCCACTAGAAACATGACTAAAATTAATAAAGAATGTTGAAATTGGGGTTAGTCATTCTGTCAACCGATATGCCTAGAGAGGTTTGAAAGTACATCTGAATATTTAACTTATAAATGGTTATTAATTGGAGGACTGTTAGTTATTAAACTGTTATTTTCCATTGTAAAATTCACTAAAATGAAATTACGACATTTTTATTGCCTCTCATGGATAAGTCACACTAATTGTGAGTGGATAATATTGGGATTTCACAAACGGAATGTTCATTAAATTATTCACAAATTTAATTTTATAAAAGGTTAGTTGATGATTTTTCGAAATAAACGGTCGATAGATACCAAATTATTTAAATATAATATCTTATCTATTGAACTACACTAAATATTTTTGAGATCATAAACATATCCATGTAATATTTTTATATTTCACTTCTTCTTTCACACTAGTACAATCAAATAGTATTTTAAACAATGGCATTGGCTTGATTCGGTGGATTTTAAATACTTTTTTTTTAAACATAGAAACAAATTTAAAAGTTTACATTTAGTAAGAAAATTTCATTTAATTTCATTGGAAACATGTGATTTACTTTAAATAATGTTAGTTATCTGAAATTATTTTATTTTTTTCGTCACCCTCCGTTACCTTCTACAACTTTATTTATTTGATGTCATTTTTTTCTAAAGTTCTTAGCTTTCCAACGATATATTATACGTATACATTTGGATTATTATTTCGAGAGATTCATTTTCGACCTGGATAAGCATTTTCAGCAAATAAACCATATTAAAGGTACTTAGGGCATTTAAGCCCTGTAAAGTGATATCAATGGGGATAAGACCTAAATTATATTAAAGACCACTTAATTATAAAATGACACACCAAGTTTAATCAAAACCGTCAGCCGTTTTTGAGAAAATGTTAAATGCATTTCAACGTTGATATTAAGTTTCACTTGCGGTTAGCCAATTTTAAGGAAAACGTTATTGTGACATCCAAACCATATACCTATCTTTTTTTTTTTTTTTTATTCTTTTTTTTTTATTAACGAAATTTACAACTGTAATTAATAATAAATACTACAAGTAAATATGAACAAGTAATATGACATGTACAACATGAGGAGAAACTACCCATTAGTAGCACTCCAATTCCTATCTTAAATGTGTAATATCAGTTTCGTACGACTTTTTGTTTTTGAGCTAGACTGTTCACCGACACACCGACCATTTTGCGGGACTTGGTTGTTTGGACTCAGTTGTTTGGACTCAGGGGATCCCAAAACGTGAATTTCCGTTGAAAACTCAGATTAAAAAAAAAAAATTTACGCGATCGCAATATTTTCCCTTACTACATATTACATTTATACATAAGTGAAAGTAAAAATAGTTTCACTAATGTAAGTGCTCGATGTTCTGACTATACAGAGCAAAAAATCATTAAGTTACTTAATGTTCTTGTTCTCTAAATAAGGTTAAATTAGAACGCCAAAATTCACTATCCGGTACTTAATTAATGAAAGGGGTCATTTTCATTGAATTAATTGATCAGATGGTCAAATAAAACTAACTATGTGAGGAACATCTAAGTCACAGTCTATGTACTTGCAACGTTATAAAAGTAAGTGTTTTGTTTAAACGTAATAGTGTGCTAAAAGTCACTATGTGCGTGGCGATTTCAGTTTTTTTAGTTGTCATCCATATCTTAAGTATTTTAATTAACTATCGGAAATAGAATACATATTTAGAATTGTAAATAACAAACCATAAATAATCAAATTGCTATTTTAGTATTCTTTTAATGGATCAATAACTTCAAATTCGATTATCTCAAATTCATAAAAATGTTGACTGATGACTTTTTGCAATAAACCGACGATATTTTAAAACTTTTTTTTTTTTTGTTCAGATTGACAAACAAATAGTATTTACTCCACAGCATTGTCATAATGAATTTATTCCCTTTTTGTATTTATAATTAAAATTATATTTTAGATATTTATTAACTCTTAAAAAAATAAATGTTTACAGAAAGTTGAGTGAAAGGTAAGTGAAAGTTATGTAATATATTACACCAGATAATATTAATAATAATAATAATAGCACAGCCTAAAACTCTGCTTTCAATCTTTCCATTAAATCTATATCCACATCCTCAATCGGTTTCAATAATTGAGTTCTGGATTGATGGATTCCCAGCAGCTCTGCAACTCCACACAGGATTTTTAATATCTAGTTCTATATTCCATTCGGCGAAGAGTGTTTGAAATGAAGCGATCGTTAGTAGCCACATTTACATTGTTATACTGAAATAGATTGTAAATCTTATCATTCTGTGATATCACTGTTTACATATTTAAAGGAAGACTTGTAAATACCATCTGTGGCTGAGAGCTGTTCAGTTTTTTTTACCGACTGCGTGAACACTATTGTGAAAAAAAAAGATGTTTTTGATTACACTTTTCACTCTATTTTCTTTCAGTTCTGGAGCTAACATTTTATTGATGTTCCCTTTATCGCCGAAGAGCCACGTCAATTCATTTGTGCCTGTGTTCAAGAAGCTCTCAGAGAATGGTCACAACCTCACGATGGTCACATCTTACACGCATAATTCTCGTATAGAGAATTGCAGCTACATAATGGTGAGAAATGTGATTGAAGACTTGTTTGTTAAGAGTGAGTATTATTTTAATTTCTGTGGGGTTTCGCCATAGGGTTCTGCGATACAATTATTTGTCTTTTGTTTTATTCCAGAACCGGACTCTATTAAAGATGTTAGTAAATATTCTAACCCAATATTAGCGTGGCCTTTTATGAAGAGACTGCAAATGGATGTGATAGAGAATTGCCTGAAAGAAAATTGTTTACGAGAGCTGATGGAGGGAAATTACGAATTCGATTTGATGATATCCGAATCGCTTTATTTCTATGAAGTATTTATTGCTTTTGGGCATGTCTTCAATGTTCCAGTGATAAGCATTGATTCCCATCCACCTTCTGCATGGTCATCTTACCTTACTGGGAATGTCCATCCATATTCTTATGTCCCGAATTTTCGGATTCCAATGACTGATCGCATGACGTTTAAAGAAAGGCTGATGAACACTTTAATCAACCTTCAAGAGATTCTTGTGTGTCATTATTACATACCAGAACAGGCAAGTGGTATTTTAAGCAGGTATAAAGGAGTAAATAATTGACTATTTTATAAAACGTATATTAAGGCAGTTGCCAATGTTTAACTATATTTTAGTATATAACTATCTAAAATTTTCCTTATTTTGCAATCTTGTCTTGTTCGTAATTACTTTGATATACTGTAGCGTAGTTTTTGTAGGTAAATCGTGTCACTATTGTCTCCCAAAAAATAAAAGATATTATTATAACCAGATAGTATTTATATATTATATTATGATATTATTTGAATAAGTAATAACTATGCAGTCCGGGATAGGCCTTGGATTTCTGAGCAAACTCGTTTTTAATCTATTTGAGATAGTAGCAGTAAACGCCAGCCGCGTATGTTAGAATAGTCTAATTAAAGCTATGTATAATCTTACTTACGTTTTCATTGATGTACAATATGATTTTAAAAACTTAAAATTTGTGAAATACTCATGGTTAAAGCCTATAATTTTGTTATACACCTCCAATTTCTTTTTATTTTAATTATTTATTTCTACCCCTAGGCTGGTAAAAGTATCGACGTTTTCAAAACTGTGTCCTTCCACCACAAGGTTATGGGAAATTATCTGGAGCAACGTAGTAATACTTCGTTTTTGAATACACCATTATATATTTTTACAATAATAATATAGCAAAGCGACAGCCACACTGCCAAAGTTTGTAAGAACAAAATCTAAAAATTTTCAAGAGACGGAAAAAACTGCGTAATTTATTTCTATGCACATTATATTTTAGGTTCGATTTCTTTTGCAGGCACTCTTATAAAAAAATTTTAATAGACATGGTTTGATTCACGAATTCTTTAGAAGTTCTATGTAATCTGCTGATGTTTAGATCACTTCATTTCTGTGCTTCATGGGATTTAAAGATTTATTGGTTTGAAAAGCTCCACCTACAATGAAACTAGAGTTCTCGTTTCGTCTCGTGTTAAATTTTCCAATTCATGAAATCGATTCTCTGTCTCTGGAATTCGGCGGAATTTTGTAGCTTTTTCCAGTCAAGCTCATTTTGCAGTTGCCAGGAGATTTCGATTGTTTTGGAAGCTGTTCAATATTATATTTCCACTTACCACTCTCTTCTTTGCGTCGAATAGATCCAGGTTAAACATTGCCGGCCCCTGGGCAGAGGAACCGGAGCATTTATTTGCCCAGAGGCTGGAATAGGCTCCCCAAAAAAATTCCCAAAATCAAATGTCCCCAACTAAAGAATAATACCGACATTCAAACAACTTTTGCTTCGTTTTTATTTTTTTTAAAGGCTTTGTGCATCACTACAGCTCTTGATTAATTTATTAATAGAGTTAAAAATGTGTATGTGAATCTAATTGGTGTTTTAATAAATGATTTTCTGAAAAGTATAAAATAGTACAAAAACAAAACATGAGGAAGAAATTGTGAAGTGCAATTACTTTTAAAACTCTATTTAATTTCCTCAGCTTAGCAATAATGAAAAAAATTGTTAATTTGTTTTCCTACAAAAACGTAAAAAATATAACCTTAGTCGTGTGCTCATCTACCAATGTTGTTTTAGTAGTTTTCATATCCATCTACTAATATATAGATTTCCTATACTAGGAAAGATTAATGAGGAATATATTTTTTTCCCTCCCTTTCTACGCCTTTTACCGAGCCAGGGGAGAGGGCGGGGAGATCGATGCATGAGTTAAAAGCCTACCGGAACTGGAACTTGAACCCGCAAGTCGAAATCTTCGGTTTCTGAGATTGCTGGGAACGCATATTTTACACACGAGATAGCCCGCTCTCCCATCCTGCTCTCATGTAATGCTCATCTGCTACTTTTTTTTAATAATATATGTTTTTTATTATAGGAAAGAATAATGAGGACCTATTTAAGTTACAATGGTACATATGATTTCCCACCATTGTTGGATATGCTTCATAATACTTCCCTCGTTTTAGTTGACGCCCACTTCTCTTTGGGTTATGTTCGACCTTACCTTCCGAACATAGTTGAGGTTGGAGGTATGACATCCCATGGAGCCAGCGTGTTAAATGAGGTGGAGTTTTATTTTTATTATTATTATCACTATTATATATATATGTATATATATATATATATTCTATTCTATAGTATATTACAAATTATATCTGTCTCAAGGGTATATCAGGATAATAAAAATTGTATTTCGTTTTTTATAAATGCAGATGAATCATATTATTAAGATCTCAATAAAACATACATGGCTTGGAACCACAAAAATTTTATGTTATTATTAAGTCTGTTGAATAAGTTGTGTGAAAGAGAACACTAAATAGTTTCTGCAAAATTTCATTTTTTTTTTATAGTATGAGGGCTGAGTAACAATCACTTAGAATTAGAATATTTTTGGGATTCGAATGAAAATTAGAATTAGAATTGTATTAATTTCATCATTTAATTTTATCACTAAAATGACATTACTCAAAAATGTTGAAATTGGAGTAGCCATTCTGTCAACTCAAAAGGCTCAGAGATTGAAATTATGCGGACTATAAAAGCAGATGGAGAAACTAGATTTTTATTGCTTACCGTCGATATAATAAATAGACTTTTTTTAATTTTAGTGGTCTTAATGATTTGTTAGCTTTAAGTTATGGCTCCGTTCAAAATGCACTTGGTATGCGGTAAGTGAAAGTTGTGTGTTGAGCGCACCAGATTATTTTTTTATGTAATTGCTCTTTTGGCCAACTGTAATACTAGTTTGTATGAACAATATTGTTATTCTTAAGCGTAATAAAGTTGGTGTTTCTATTCTATTCTATAACTTTTTCGAGTTTTCTAATGATTGTTTCCTGACATTCCAGGAGTTCCAACAGTTCATGGATGAATCAGAACATGGCGTCATATATTTTACTTTTGGGTCTATTATAAATGCAACATTCCTGCCTAAAGAAGATATAGACGTTTTCGTATCCGCATTTAGACAATTAAAGCAAAACGTTATTATGAAGTGGGAATCAGACCATTTCCCAAACAAGCCTAAAAATGTCTTAATAAAGGATTGGCTGCCTCAAAATGGAATCTTAGGTGAACTCTTTTTGGTTTATTTATTTTTTTTTTATGTTCACATCACCTTTTTCTTTATTACTAACTAATTATTATTTTGCATGCAAGATACGTGGTTGTTCATAGAGGTATGAGTGTTTCTGAAACTATTTAAAAAAACATTTAGTTGGCTAAATTATAAATCAGGGCTGCGCAAGTATGTTGTGATATTTCAGTTATTTCTGCATGATAAATCAAAGAAAAGTGTATTAATAAAACAATACTTCTCTGAATAAATTGAATACCATTTCAAAATCAATAAATCTACTGTATTTATTTATCGTGTTTTATTTTTGAACATTTTACAATTTTATTCGGTTTTTTTCGGTATTAATTGCTATATCTTGTCTAGTATTGGGACATCCGTTGTTGTGAAGAGGCATCCTGATAAATCGATCCAAGGTACAAGCCCAGTCCATCTAAACCAGCCTTCTTACCTTCATTTTCATGAGGCTTTCTCCTCTATGCATTAGTACTCTGATCCCAGATGAGTCAGATTATTGTGTGAAGAGTTTGTTTCAAATCTCCACATTCAAGCAGATTCTGTTATCAAGGTGGAATTTCCGCTTGTTATCATATATTTTGAATTTTCTTCCTTTACTTTTAGGCCGATTTGCTTCACTTCTCTTATCAGATTCTAAGCGAGTTTCTCAACGTCCTTTTGGATCCTTCTTAGGACAGCTATATCATCTGAATATTCAAGCATTTTCGGTTTGTTCGGACGTGGACCTCTCCATTTTCACGTGATGTTCTTAACATCTTCTCCAGTGAAGTTGAACAATATCGATAAGGTTTCTTCTCCTCACCGTAAGACCTCAGGGTTACAAGAAAAACCAGAAGAGACCGCGTAGGAAATGAAACGTTTAGGGAAGATCATAAAATCTCTACATTAACAACCATCCTACAAAAGGCAGCTCAGATGGTTCTACCACTCAGAAAAGAGATGGAAGCACGAACAGCAGTGCATCCACAGGATTGGAGAAAAAAGGAAAAACACTACAAATAAAACAGCTTTGCAAAAAACATGATGCCTGGCAGCGTTGATCGACGAGACATTTTTACGCTGGAAATGAGGAAGAGATAGAATAGCACTTTTTTTTCGGATTTGACAATTTTTCGAATGAATGATTTTTTTAAATTAGTCTAATGAAGAGCAATAATTTTAAAAGAATAATATTGAATGTTTAATAGTTGACCGTTGCGTTATAAAGGAAGGAGGTGGTCCGAGGTGGCGGTCATAAATAGGCTAAATAATGGCAAAACTATTTTATTAAAAGCCAACGTTTCGACCCGACATTGCAGGTCTTCTTCGGATAGGTGTGCGCAGCTAGGAAGCTAAAACTTCCAGTTCTAAGTTTCACTTAGAACTGGAAGTTAGAACTTGTCTAAGACTTACACTTCTAAGTGAAACTCCTACCTGAATACAAGTCCCTGAAGAAGACCTGCAAAGTCGGGTCGAAACGTTGGCTTTTAATAATTTAACAGTTCTGCCACTATTAAGACTATTTATAACCGCCACCCCAGACAATCTCCTTCCTTTAAAAGAATAATAATACAAAAGATGTACTGAAAGGTAATATTTTGATGTTACATTTCCGATATAACAACTTTCCTAGTAGTTTCAGAGTCCCCTTCGTTGCATAGTCCAAAGATTCTATTATACTTAATAAACGTAACTAACGTAGCTTCTGTTTCAGCTCATCCTAACTGCCGCCTTTTCATTAGCCACGGAGGGATACATGGATTGACTGAAGCAATATACCACAAAGTACCTCTTGTTATGATACCCTTTGGCTCCGACCAGTTTTCCAATGCTTATTTTGCAGAAACAGAAGGATTCGCCAAAGTTTTAGATTACAAAAATCTTACAGTTGAGAATTTATTGATTGCTATCAATTCAGTCCTTGACAATTCCGAGTAAGTCTTTACAATGACAGTCTTGCCTCTTTTAAAACAGTTTTAATTCTTTTAATAATTGATGTTTCTTTTAAAGATTTAAGGAGAACATAGAAAGGAGATCTATGATTCTGCAAGACAGAGACCAAAGCTCTTTGAAGAAAGCCGTGTATTGGGTCGAGTATGTCCTGAAGCATAAAGGAGCCAAGCATCTCAAACCAGCTTCTTTATATTTAAATATCTTCCAATATTTTTTGTTGGACGTGATTGCAGTAATAATTTTATTTATATTGTTATGTTGTAGCATAGTATTTTTCTTTTTATATGTATCGATAAAATTTGTAAAACGATGTATTAGAAGTTCAAAACAAAAACGTGATTAAATTGTTTAATAAGATCGGTGAGGAGTATATGAGAAGGAGTGGGTCGGGGAGTGCTATCAAATAAATACTAATTTTTTAAAAAATAGTATTTTTAATTGTTACGCCATTTTTTAAAAATTTAGTATTTATTTGACCACACTCCTCCAACCAACTTCTCATATTATATCACGGTCAACCATCTCTACATCATTATAATTTTATTATAAAAAATATTTTGTTAATATTTTTTAAAATATGTATTCAATGCTACACCATCTCAGGTATATATTAGTAAATATGTTGATTTGAAATTAAGTTTAGTTATTTATTTATTGTACATACTAATTTTATAATAAAAACTACATTTTTCTAAAAAATATCTTTTTTTTCCCCAATATTTCATTACCTGCTATGCACATACCTACAGCTAAAGGAATGTGTAGTAGACAGATGAACAGAATATTTCAAGATGGTGCTAAAAGGGGGTCAGTTGCAGTTTGGATGATATTAAGTGGACGATGTAGGTTTATTATGGTGAAAACCACTTTATTTTCGATTGCTGAAGGTGCACATCGAGAATATCTTCACTTTGAAGAAGGATATAGAGAGGTATATCGAGAAAGTTATAGCTCACAGCTCTCCTTCTGTTTAGTGTATTTACAAAAGATTGTTTAAGGAATCTAAAAGGAACACGAGCTTTTCTGAAAGACAATTAGATATCAGCATAATCCAAAGTGTGAGGCACTAAGCAGATAGAGAGCTATTTTTCTTTTTATATGGACTTCTCTATGACATGCCTTAAAGTGAAGACAGTCCCAATTTTCAACTTCTCTTCCAATGTGCAACTTGAGTTTCTCTATCCATATCGCTACGGCAATCAACAATATTTCTTATTCCAGCTTCTACGATTCTTGAGCATAATTTCTTTGGTACACTAAACAGGAATGGATCTTGATGGGTATTACATTTCCTAGTATTTCCTTTCTTGTAAAGGTAAAAACCACAGTCCTTTCATATCATTTTCTAATATACTTGTTGCCTACATACGCGCAAAACAGTGCGAAGCAGTTCGGTTTCGCCCTTTCCATCTTTCTTTGTGCAGAGAGAATAATACATTCAATATTAGAATTTCCTATTTTTTTATGATATGTTACAAATTCCGAACAATTTATTCCGCAATTTCTGAACAATAACGAGCTATATCTAATATAAGATTCCTTTTGAGAACAATCTTTTGCAAATGCATTAAACAGAAGGAGAGCAATGATCTATAACTTTCTCGATATACCTCTCTATATCCTTCTTCAAAGTGAAGATAGTCCCGATTTGCACCTTCAGCAATCGAAAATAAAGTGGTTTTCACATAATAAACCTACATCGTCCACTTAATATCATACAAACTGCAATTGACCCCTTTTTAGCAGCATCTTGAAATATTCTGTTCATCTGTCTACTACACATTCCTTTAGCTATATAATGGACACTGGTCCTTTTTATCTATTCCTACTTCCTTTCTAGTTCGCTTAATGTATTTTTCCAATTTGGTGTTTTCCTCATTTTGAGACCAAATCCAAACAATCAGTTCTGGTATATAGAAGAACTTATAGCATCACCCTTTCTATCTTTCTTTGTGCACTGAGAATAATTCATTCATTATTAAAATTTCCTATTTATTTATGATATAGTCCAACTTCTGCACAAAATAAAGGAAATAGCTGCTATTCATTATATATAGTTCAGATTAGGTATATATTCCTTTAGTTTATAAAACAGGTATTGATATGACTCATTTCCTGGAAAGTATAAAAAAATTTTAATTACATCTCAGAATCAGTAAATATACAAAACACAGTGTTAAATTGCAAACGTTAAATAAAAAAAAATCAAGATATTTTTTAATTAAGTTTTATTATTTTAATTATATCATGTTTACAATTTCTTGTAACGTTAGTCTTCTTAAACGTATAGAATAAAGGAGGTTAAATTAAAAAATAATAATAATAAATTTTGTTTTTAAATATTACTTTTTGTTTTTTTACAATTAAATTATTGCATTAATATTTGTGCGTTAATAAAACCAATATAATGTACCAATAATGTTATTATATCACTATAACTAAGCCATTTATGTATACTGAATGGTGTGGTAGAGGCCTATAGGCACCCACGCCAATACCGCTTTTCTGCCGCATAAGTTCATTTTCTACGGAACTGCTTAAAATATTTTTAAAAATAATCAGCGTTTTAGAAAGAGAAATATGTTTATATAAACACCTTTTGCGTTATTGTAGGCCGTTTAATTACAAAGGACGCTTGATTTGTAAATTGAAAATTTTTTTGTTAGAAAAATTGAATTTACTGGTACTTTTCATAGCCTAAGCCAATTATTTTTTAATATTTCTTCATGTTTTATTATTATATGACTATTAAGCTTTAATAAAAGACCAACTATGAGGAAATTAAGCCAAATGCTGATTCTCAGTGACCAAAAAAACTAACTAAAGTCAAAGACGTCTATCCGCCATCTTTGGACGCCATTTTGGGGCAGTGCGTTCACGTTTTTTTGTGGGAACATTGGCTTTTTTAAAATAAATAGTTACAAGGAACTCAACGATATACAATTTATAGGGATGTGGGGGGAGGGGTACACAGTAAGGGGGTCTGGCCCATATCCCATAACCCACTGGCCATATCCTTTAACAACACCCTACCCTCCCTGTTGAACAAATTCTTTTCCTAGGACTCCACCTGGACAAACGACTCAATTGGAAACCTCATACCAGACTGAAACTACTGGAAACTGCGCAACGTTTTTCGACTACTACAGCACTTACTAGACAAACGCTCTAAACTTCCAATTATTTACAAAAGACTCATATATATTACTATAATTAGACCTATTTGATATATTACGGTATCGAGCTTTGGGGCTGTTGATGGTTTATCAATCCTTACAATCCAAAATCCTTCGTAAAATCCTCAATGCTAATTTTGTCATATGTTTACGATTTAGCTCATTCATGATACATGTGTTTTCATAATAAACTTCTGAGCCATTCGAAATCTCTTGTTTCGAACCTTGCTTCCTCTTGTGTTTCTGATAACCCTCCGAGGCGTCTGGAAATAAGATGACCTCGGGGCCTTCTAATATAGAACCATAATTGGAGAGCTAACAATGGTTAGTTTCTCTTCATACCACTGTTTTCAGATTTATTTGTTGTATTTGTCATGTAATACAGTTGTAAATTTCAATTGTAAAAAATAGATATTTAAAAAAAAAATCTATTTTCAAAATGTGTTAATTCTATGTAAGAAAACCATGTTAAATTAATATTATTCATTTCACTTAGTTTTTATTCCTATTTTAGTATAGGAATATTTATAATTAGTTTATGTATCATTAGTTTTAGAAATTATAAAAAAGTCTGTTACTGTATATATACTGTAAGTATGTATTTTTTTTTATTGATACCATTACATTTTATGTTTAATAATAATAATATAATAATAATAAGGCTTAGCGAACCCGAAGGTTCGATGCCGACACCACCAATCGCTTGTTACACACCTCCCTCCACCGTTCGCCGTCCAAACCCAGTCCCTTCAGATCGGCTTTAATGCAATCTTCCCACCTTCGCTTCGGTCTACCCCTCGGACGCTTACCATTCGGCACAGCAAATATTAACCTTTTATGAATTCTCTCGTTACTAAGCCCAACAACTTTACAAGCCCATTTGATTCGCCGTGATGAAATTACCTCAATTATATTACCCGGATACAGCTCACGCAATTCGGCGTTGTGTAGCCGTCTGAACTCTCCGGTTAACTCATCCTTCTTCGGTCCGAATATTCTACGCAATACTTTATTTTCAAAAACCTTAAGACGCTGCTCATCCCTTAATGTAAGCGGCCAAGTTTCGCATCCATAAAGAACTGTAGGCAAGATAATTGTTTTATAGATTCTAATTTTTAAGTTACGGGACAAGAGGCGCGAACTAAGTAGTTTTGTCACAGAAAAATAACAAGCATTCCCCGCCTTCAGTCTAACCTTAATCTCTTCTTCAATTTCGTTTTTTCTAGTTATCGTAGAACCTAGATACCTAAATTTATCTACCTGTTCAAACATATTACCATCTATATCGACATCACCAGTAGTATCGCCATTTTTGCAGCTAACCATATATTTCGTTTTATCCACGTTTATTTCGAGTCCTAGTTCTTTACCGGCTTTCATTAACGTTGTCGTATTTAGTTTTATAGTTTCAAGGTCTTCGCTTAACAGTACCAGATCATCAGCATAGCCAGCACGGATGTTGTCCCGCCCAGATCCAACCCTTTCCCGGTTCGCATTACCTCCCTAATGGCATGTTCTAATGCCAAATTGAACAGGACAGGCGAAAGAGAATCCCCCTGTTTTAAGCCCGAACGAACCTCAAATTTTTCGGACAAATTATTACCGATTCTAACTTTATTGAGTGTCTCCGTCAAGCACATCCTGACTAGATTTACTAGTTTTTTTGGAATCCCCTGCTCGATTAGAATATTATACAGTTTCTGGCGGTCAATAGAATCGTAAGCCTTTTTAAAATGTATATACAGCTGGTGAACAATACCGTTATACTCCAATTTTTTCTCTAATATTTGCCGTAAAGAAAATATTTGATCAATTGTCGAACGATTCCGTCTAAATCCGCATTGGTAGTCTCCGATAATTTCCTCGGCGTATTCCGTGATTCGACTGGTTAAGATTGAAGTTAATATTTTATAACATACCGGAAGGAGTGAAATTCCTCGATAGTTATTACAATCCGTCCTCGGACCCTTTTTGTGAATCGGAATAAGAATAGATTCTTTCCATTCTTCAGGTAATTTCTCGTTCACCCAGATCTTTTTAACCAACCGATGTATTTTAGAAACTCCAGCTTCCCCGCATGCCTTAATTAGTTCAGTAGGAATATTATCGATTCCCGCTGCTTTATATGATTTTAATTTTCCGATAGCTACTTCAACTTCCTCTTTACTTGGTCCTTCTATTAACGGTTCAGCACTCTGGTACTCAGAAGGAGGACACAGATCATAATTTCCCGTATTTAAAATATTGTCAAAGTGGTCCTTAAACTTATTCAATATGTCAACCGGATCGGTCAGAATATTGTTATTATCATCCCTAATTCCAGACGTTACGGGCCCTACATATTTACGTGATCTGTTTATACCTTTGTACATGTCTCTTACGTTATTTTCGACTCTATTAGTTTCTATTTCAATTATTTTATTTTTAAGATACTCCCTTTTTTTATTTTTGAGCAATTTTGTCGTTTCGTTCTTTGAGATTCGGAAGTATTCCAGATTGTCTTCGCTAGGATTATTTAGAGCTTTTAATTTAGCGGTTTTTCTTTTTTCGCACATGTTTAAGCAATCTTCATCAAACCACGGTTTGTTATTCTTATTTTCCTTTTTTCCTAGACACGAGTTACCGACCGCTTTAATATTATCCCTGATCTCTATCCATAACTTGTCAATATCCTCGTGGTCCTCGTCAGGAAGCTCTAAAGCTTCAAACCTATTCTTAACATCTAGCTCGAATTGGTTTCTAATTGATGGGTTTTTTAATTTTTCCAAATTATAATTCTCAAAATCGAAACGGTTTTCTTTTCTCTTTTTTATATTAAGTTTCTGTCGAAGTTTCGCGATTACTAATTCATGATCCGACCCACATTCTGCTCCGCGATAAGACCGCACATTAATTATACTGCTTTGCCAGCTATGTTGTATCAAGACATGATCGATTTGATTTCGTGTTTGCGAATCCGGTGATGTCCAAGTATATTTATGAATATCCTTGTGTTTAAACGTCGTACTTTTTATTATCAGGTTTTTCGAGATGGCAAAGTTTATTAGACGGATCCCATTATCATTACTATATTCGTGCAAACTTTCTTTACCAATCGTCGGAATATAAACTTCTTCCCTCCCTACCTTTGCGTTCGCGTCACCTACAATTATTTTCATGTAGTTTCGTGGTAGTTTATCATAAACCCATTCGAGTTTATCGTAAAATTCACTTTTGACTTCATCGTCACTGTCTTCGGTCGGACAATGTATGTTTATTAATGCGATTTTAGACCAACGTCCCTGAAATGTAGCTACCGAAATTCTATCACTAAAGAATTGTACGTCCCTCAAAGCGGATAGTAATCTACGCCTAATAAGAAACCCGGTACCTAAACAATGATTCCCGCTTCCTCCGTACCAAATAGTGTACTTCCCTTCCCTCATCGAGCCCTCCCCTGGCCAGCGAACCTCTTGCAGAGCCACGACATCCAAATTGTACCCATTTACCTCATTCCCGACCGATTTTAGCCCCCCTGCTGTGTTTAAACTCCTTACGTTCCACGTACCAATATTTAAATCCCTATATTTCAACTTGCGCCATGAATCCCCTAAAGCAGTCCCCACCCGGAGACCCGAACGGGGGACTAGTTTACTTCCGGATAATGAGCGTTTTACCTTAGGGAGATCCATGACTTTTTGTGGTGTTTGGTGAACTAAAGATATGTGAGTAGGGCGTTCAATCCTACGTCACACCCTCCAGCAAGTCTGGTGGGCCCCTACCTCCAGCAAGTCTGGAGGTCCCCTCCCTCCAGCAAGTCTGGAGGGCCCCTCTCATTGTTGGTCAGCGAGTCCATCGGACTTAGCCGGGAGGAACTTCCAAGGAATTTCCACCGACCATCCCCACATCCGCCACCCGTGGGACGCTCCCCATACGCGGTAATGAGCCCGCGCGAGGGAGATTCACTTACAATATAGAAATAGAAAATCATCTTTATTCTGGGACTAGGTCCCTTAAGAATAACAATATTGTTCAAACCAATTGACAATAAATCAGGCCAGATGACCTATTATAATAAAGAGTAACTACAATCTAAGTAATAAAATGAGTATATAAATAGTTTTGGAGGGTATATTAAGGAAAAGAGATGTGTACAAGGGTCACACTATTATAATATTGGTATAAAACACAACGACATACTAATAACTAAATAAAATTGGAAAGGAATGCTAAATAAGTTTTATAGGTAACCAATTTTAGTGCTACAATATAATAAAAAAAATAAAAATAAGAATAAAAAAAATAACTAGAGTAAATAAATGATTTATATATATTCCTTAAGACGTTTAAGTGAAAACATGTGAAGACATTGTAAAAAGTAGACAAGTATTGTGATCTACCTACGACGCAATAGATTACGAGCAGAAAAAGAAATACATGCATATACACACACACACACACACATAGTATAAGGATCCTATTTTTAGTTTCTGAGATATTTTAATCCATATCTTTTAGAAAACTCGTTAGCATTTGGTTTTCAAGGCTATTTCTTTCTTTTCGCCTCTCTGACACGGCTTCGCGTAAATATACCATTTTGAATTATAGCCCATCACAGAGAGGATGAATTGCTGACCAATTCCCTCCCTTGCAGTATGCAGACCTGATTATTAGTTTTTGAGATACTTTAATCCATATGAGAAAAACACTTCAACTAGTAAACTCCAGCCAAATTTACCCGAGCGTTACACGTCAGAGACTTGACAGCTCAATTTAATTCACTCTCTACAAAAAAAAAAAAAAAAAAACGCAAAATGTGCCTAAAGAAGTTTTCACCTAAAAAAAAAAAAACTAAATCGAGGATTAAAAATTAAATAACTGAGAACTAACCTGATATGGTAATCATACCGTTATTTTTCACCATAATAGATATTTAATAGAAGGAGTATAATTGCAACTCCTTATTATAAAAGTTTTAAAGCATTTTTAAATAACTGTCACAACTATAAAAGTGGCATTAAATATACTTTAAAAGTTATATAAAAAAAATAAGGTAGAAAAAAACATGAAAAATACAGGGGAGGTTTAACTTTAACCACTGCAGGCGTTCCACAAGGTAGTATCCTCGGTCCCATCCTCTACACAGTTTATACAGCTGACATCCCAACCCATCCTGAAACTGTCATCACCACTTACGCCGATGACACATGTTTGCTATCTGTTAATAATGACCCTTTAATTGCATCCCAAACTCTTCAATCACATATCACAAACCTTGAAGAATGGTGTAATAATTGGAGAATAAAAATAAATTCCAACAAATCCCATCAAATCACCTTTACCCTCCGTCGTAAACCTATGACGTCTTGTCCCACAGTAACTTTCAATAATACTCCACTTATTCCTGTTGAGCAAATCCGCTACTTAGGACTCCATTTGGATAAACGTCTTACTTGGAATCCTCATACTAGACTGAAACGACAAGAAACTGCTCGACGTTTCCGACTGCTCCAACAATTACTAGACAAACGCTCCAAACTTTCTATTAATTACAAAAGACTTATCTACATAACTATAATAAGAACCTATATGGACATACGGAGTTGAGCTTTGGGGCTCCACCAAACCATCGAATTCCTATCGTATCCAATCCTTACAATCGAAACATTTTATGTTTAAATCCTATAAATAGTAACCCACATACAATTCAAATTGAATAAAAACATGGTGCTCTCCATCTAACCTAACACATAACCTAGAAACGTGACGCAGGCGAAAGAAGGTCGGGAACCCCTGTTCTGGTGGTACATCTAACCCGTGTGGGAAGATCGAGATTCATTCCGTGGGTCCTCCCCGGAATTAATTTTAATCAGCCCAGACAGGATTCGAACCTAAAACAGCGCTGGTCGACTTTCCATTCAATCTATTTCCAAACTCTCAATCGGTTGAAATGATTGAGTATTTCGGCGCAATGGAGTCCCAACCGCTCCGCGCATCTCGTTACAAATAAAAGACTGAGTTGGATTGCAGTGATTGTCAATGGCCACGTTTATATTGTTATACCGACATATATTTCAAATCTTATCATCAAGTCTCTGATATCGCTGTTTACATATTTAAAGAGAGGCTTGTACATTAATAACCAAGCGTAGTTGAGAACTGTTCAATTTTCTTACCGACTTTGTGAAAGTTATTGAGAAAAAAATATGTTTTGGTTTACTCTTTTGACTCTATTTTCTGTCAGTTCGGGTGCCAACATTTTATTGATGTTCCCTTTATCACCGAAGAGCCATGTCAATTCATTTGTGCCTGTTTTCAAGAAGCTCTCAGAGAATGGTCACAACCTCACGATGGTTTCATCCTTCACACATAATTATCTTATAAAGAATTGTACCTACATAAAGATTAGAAATGTGGTTGAGGAGATGTTTTTTAAGAGTGAGCATTTTTGTATATTATTTTTATATATAATTTTTTTGTGGGGTTTGCCATAGACTTCTACGACACATTTATTTATCTTTCGTTGTATTCCAGAGCCAGACTCCGTTAAAGAGGCGCGTAAATATTCTAACTCACTATTCTCGTGGCCGTTTATGAGGAAACTGCAACTACAAATGATAGAGACTTGCCTGAAAGGAAATTGTTTGAGAGAGCTGATGGAGGGAAATTACGAATTCGATCTGATGATATCCGAATCTCTTTATTTGTTTGAAGTATTTATTGCATTTGGGCATGTCTTCAATGTTCCAGTGATAAGCATTGATGCCCACCCACCTTCAGCTTGGTCATCTTACCTTACTGGGAATGTCCATCCATATTCTTATGTCCCCAATTATCGAATTCCAATGACTGATCGTATGACGTTTAAAGAAAGGCTGATGAACACTTTACTCAACCTTCAAGAGGTTCTGGGGTCTTATTATTTCTTACCAGAACAGGTAAGTGATATTTAAAATAAAAAGTGAATTAATAAAACTTATTTATTTATTTATTTAGAAATATAATAATCTATCGCGTGGACAATAATTATAGTGATATCTCACATTCGCTCTATATATTTAGAAAATATAAAATTAACAATAGTAAAATAATAACTAAATACTAATAAAAAACTATGTACAATAAATTATAAAATAACTTGAAGATAAATAAATTAAAAACACAATCATACTTATATACATCAGGCAGACGTTTCATTTATTGGAAGAACAGACGGCTGAAATTTTGATTTGATGTAAAGAATCTGTCCCTAAAAGAGAATTCATTCTTCTGACAATGTACCCGGTTGCGTTTTGAAAACTAACGGCGTCCCTGAGTCCGAAAAACGCTTTTTCCAATAATCAAAACCAAAACAAAGGATTAGCTTTGAAGTTGAACGCGTTGAGAATATTTAGAACGATATATCATTTGCACCAAATCGTCCGATTTCTACTATTTTTAAAGAAAATTTCGTAAAGTTTTAAATGACCATATCAACAAAAAAGATACATCAACAAAAAATATACTTTTTCGAGTTATTCAGATATCCAATTTTACCACCCTCGTAACTATTTTTCAGACTTCTTTTCGGAGAGGTGCTTTAATATATGTAAATCTAAAGGGCTTCGAAGTTAGGAATTTAGCCAAGTTATATTTAAATTGGTACATCGATTTAGGCCTAACATCTGTACGACACAGATACACGGCTGACTTGAAAGGAAAGTAATTTCCGGTGGAGTATCATATGCATATATTTAAAGAGCATCAAGAAGAAGACTTTAGCCAAGTTTCATTAAAATCGCTATAGCCTTTTTTGTTTATTATCCCCTTCCTCGCCTTTTAGGTTATACCAGGTTTTTTCCGGACCAAGGAATGGGGGCGGAGGATTAATGTCAGATGTAAAAGCGTCCCCTCGAACACCGTGAAGCAAACTTGTATTTGTTTAAAAAATTTATCTACTATCCCGTTGCCTGGCAACGGCGGTGTTGAATCCGTTGAAGTTTGTAGCGACACAGGTTTTTCGACCTCATCTTGAAAGAAAAGGTAATGGCGAGTTCCGAAGATCATCCTCGGGTTCCCTTTGACATTGACACCAAATCTCAAAACAATCGATCTAGTAGGAGAAAAGGGGTGGACGGCGTACGGAGGACGGTTGACGGATGGATTTTTTTTTATTGGATTTTTGGATTTTGGTATCAAGAATTGGTAAAAAGGATTAATTCAAATTTTATGGGGAGGTTAACTATTTTTTTCTTGGCCAATTACTGTTATTGAATTCTCTAATCTGATTTTAATGACCGTTCACGTTCCCATTCGCATTGGTTCATCGAATAAATCGCACTATTATCATTTCTGTGGCCGGATTTAGAGAAATTACTGAAATTAATTTTTTCCCCAACCTCAGCAAAGTTACAACATCGATTAGATAAATTACAGAACTGGTACAAATTTTGGAAAATTTGACTAAAGCACAATAAATCGAAACACAATACATTTACACTTCGAACAAATACCCAGGGGTGGCCAAAAGAGGATTTCATGGCGCAAGTTGCGCCATTACAATTTTTTATTGGGGAGGAGGAGCACATTTTTACGGGATTTTGAATTTTTGAGGGGGCACATTTCGACGGAGTTGTGAATTTTCGGATTGAAAAGTTTCAAATAAGGAGGCTAAGGAAATACATAAACCAAACTTCAACAACTGTAATTTTACATGATTTACGGTATTTTTACTTCTAATGGTTTTAAGAACAGGAGAGTAATAAAACATCTTGAGAAGGAGAGGGGGAGGTTCATGTGCCATCGAACTTGGGGGGGAAGGGCATCCCTGGAAATACTTGCCCTCTAATTTATATAGGAAACAATAAAATTCCTCAGACGGATACCGTACACTATCTTGGACTTACCTTTTATAGAAGGATGGTACGGGATTCTCATGTCAAAATGAAACAGAAGATCCTCAATAGACGACTCAAACTACTTTACTAATTTTTTTCCAGATCTTCAAAACTAAAACTAAGACAGAAACTAAATAAAATCCTATACTTACTGAAACTTATATGGACATAATCCTCACAGATACGGTATAGCTATTACGGTATAGCTAAAAAGACCCACTCACAAAAACTTCAAACTTTCCAATCAAAGCTTTTACGACTAATAAGTAAAAATCCTTGATACGTGACTAACAAAACCTTACGTAATGACTTCCACCTGCCTACAATTGACCAACACATATGGAATCTTAAAAAAAAAGGTTTAATATTAATTTACACGAACATCCTATCAGACTAAGAAGAGATGCGGCTTTAGCTAACATGTTCACCAATACGATTAGGGGAGTAAAAAGGCGCTGAATGAGTGACCTACTCCCTTAACAAACCATGATTGAATTCAGCCAGGGAAGAGGTACTGCTAGGAGCTATCCTTCCCGATGCCTGACATGTCAGTTTTATTACTTTTATCAAACACTTCCTGATTGCCAACAGTTTGTCGACTGGCGCAGAAGAATATTTGATGCAAAAAAAAATTCATTTATTGAAAGATAAAACGAATTTTGACACGATTGTTTTAATATGATAAACTTTGTTTGAATAAAATACAGATATATGTATTTATTATTTCACAGTGGCACGGTAGTAAGATATTTAGTCAATACTTGGAAGGCAAACGTACTACCTAAAGGTGTGTTACTTCATGATGTCTCACCTGTTTCGTCACTGTGAAGGGTGTTTGGAAGGGCCTTTCATTCAGTTTTTTAATAATATCTCGAAAACGTTGCGTCGAAAAAAAAAACTTGTTCTATCCAAAAATAAACATCCTTTCATAATGCTTTGCTTCACGTTTTCGGGTTTGTTATAGTTCTCGCAATATTTACCATTTTAAAAAGACAATCGTCGGAAAATTTATTTATTTATTTGTTTGAGTGTTTCGACCACTGGGGTCATTTACACTGAAGTCTCTTGAAGTTTTTTTTAATTGTATTATAAATGTCGATAGTTTTTAAGAATTTAATAAGACCTGAAGTCGTGTCGGGGTCTGTGGAGAATCTGTAGGAGTCCTGAGCCATACACTCCGTTAGTATGTGAAGCACTGTTAGAATACACCCGGAGTTCTTCCTGTTGGCGGTTCTTCCTTCTTTATCAGATATCCATGAATAAGTCGACAATGGCCAATCCTAAGGCGAGTAAGAAACGCTTCTCTCCGTGATAACTGTAGAATTTTTCTTGGATGTTTAACACATTGTTCGATTTTTCTAAATTTATTTTCTCTCGTGTCAAACCATTTTGCCATTCCAGCCATCCTCTTTCATCGATCCAAGATATTATATCGTTGCGATCACTTATTGAACATACTTGACCATTTTTTATTGCTCCTTTCCCTTGTGTGTCTGCATTTTCATTCCCAGGAATTCCACTGTGACCAGGCATCCATAAAAACAATACTCTATAACCAGCGTCTTTCAATGTTTTTAATTGTATTTTTATTTCGGTAATTAGAGGGTGTGCGGTAAAGGGGTCTAGTAGAGATTGTAGGGCAGATTTAGAATCTGAACATATGAACGAGCGAGGGTAATTTGGAATTATTGGAAGTTCTGCGGTGTACACTGAGGAGAAAGGTTGCAGCGAAGTTAAGTTGGTGTGATTGCCAGATACAACAGCAGTGGCTACCTCTTCATCAGTTTTCAAACCGTCTGTGTAGATAAATGTCCAATCGCGGTAAATGGCTTTAAAATTGTGGAATTTTTGTGCTATTTCTATGGGAGTAGATGATAGCTTATGCAGATATTAATTACAGCTGGAATAGGTAGCAGCCATGGTTCTACTGCTGAAAGAATCTGGTTAAACACATTTTGAAAAAGAACGAGTTTCAGATTTTTAATGTATTCTCAGAACATCTATCAGACAAATTGATTTGAACCCCACGTAATTTTTCAAACTCACCTTTTTAACCCTTTAGCTTTTCGTTCTACATGAAAATCGACTGAGGGAAAACTTTAAAAAATAATTTATTTTATTCAACATTCAAAAGCAAATTTGGCTGTTTCTTCTGATTAGGCTCTCAACTTCGAACGAGAGTGTCCTACCAGTTCTAATACCACGACTGATCACAGTAAGAACTTACCTTCATTCGAAATAAAGTATGTCATAGGCGCTGACGTTTGGAGGGTGAGGGGAAGGATCGCCTCTCTTCTCCCAACCAGATTGGATAGACTGCGCCTATGTATTGAGTATGATTCATCCTTGTTTTGCTAGTTTGGTTCCTGCATGCTTTTACTGGCTATGGTTCAACAACTACACTATTTCGGAAGCGTAAACTTACAATTAGTTTTGTAAAACTGAAAAAATAAAATAAAACCAGATTTGTCAACGTGTTATTCAATCTCTCCTCCTTGCCTACTGCTGGTGATAGATTAGAAACATTATCTACGATAAGATGGTATAGTTCCTTGGTTGACGAAAAGTCCTTCAATATATTTTTTTCCCTCCTCTTCTACGTCTTTTCGGCTAAATTAAGTTTTCTCGAGCTAGAGGGGAGGGCGGGGAGATCGATGCATGAGTTAAAAGCTTACAGGAAATGTAACTTTCTGCAGTTTCGACATCAGATTGCTGGCAATAAATATTTTACATACGCGTTAGTCCCCTCGTTCATTCTGCTCTCATGTAATGCTCTTCTACTATTTTTTTAAATAATATATGTTTTTTATTATAGGAAAGAATAATGAGGACCTATTTAAGTTATAATGGTACATATGATTTCCCACCATTGTTGGACATGCTACAAAACACTTCCCTCGTTTTAGTTGATGCCCACTTCTCTTTGGGTTATGTTCGACCCTATCTCCCGAACATAGTTGAGGTTGGGGGTATGACGTCTCATGGAGGCAGCGAGCTAAACGAGGTTGATTATTATTATATAAATACATATACATATATATGATATAAATATATATTTATGTATGTGTATATATTTTTTTCTATTTTCCTAATTATTGTTCTCTTATATTACAGGAGTTGCAAAAGTTCATGGACGAATCAGAACAAGGTGTCATATATTTTTCATTTGGAACCATAATGAACTTAACATTAATGCCTGATGAATCGATGGACATTTTCAAATCCGCGTTTGGACAGTTAAAGCAGAACGTTATAATGAAGTGGGAATCAGATCATTTCCCAAACAAGCCTAAAAATGTCTTAGCAAAGGACTGGTTGCCGCAAAATGGAATCTTAGGTGAACTCTGTTTAAATTTTGAATGTTCACATGATTTTTTTTTTAATTAACGATGTATCATGTAAGATAATTTTATATAGAGATATGGGCGACTCTGAAATTACTAGCATTTCAAGCTTCCTAAATTTAAAAAAAAAATTAGTTCACTAAATTAAAATAAGAAAAAAGGCGTTTGCCTCAGTGTTTCGACAATAATTTCGTATTTTCCAATCATTTTTGCACTAGAAACTTATGTAAAGTGCATTTTAATAAAACTATGTAATCTTTTTATTAATGCTTACATGAGGAAATTGAATAAAATATAAATCAGACAACTGAATTTCTTTCTTATGTTTTATTTTGGAACATTTTATAATTTTATTCCGAATTAAATTTATTGAAATGCTAGCATAGGAATCCAGAATATATGTCTGAACCCGCAATCTTCAACCTGATCAGAAAAAAAGGAAAACACTCTAACAAATAAAACAGCTCTGCAAAGAACATGATGCCTGGCAGACATTCACGCTGAAAATGAGGAAGAGATAGAATAGCAATTTTTTCGGCTTTGACCATTTTATCGAATGAATGATTTTTTTAAGTTAGTCTAATTAAGAGCACTAACTTTAAATGAATTATAATACAAAATATGTACTAATAGACAATATTTTGATATTACATTTCCGACACAGCAACTTCCTGTAGTTTCAGAGTCATCCTTCGTTATTTATTTATGTTATTTTCTGCATACTAAATAAACGTAACTAACTTAACTTCTGTTTCAGCTCATCCTAATTGCCGTCTTTTCATTAGCCACGGAGGGATACATGGATTGACTGAAGCAATATACCACAAAGTACCTCTTGTTATGATACCATTTGTCTCCGATCAGTTTGCCAATGCTTATTTTGCAGAAAAAGAAGGTTTCGCCAAAGTATTAGGCTACGAAAACTTCACAGTTGAGATTTTATTACACGCCATCAATTCAGTCATAGACAATGCCGAGTAAGCCTTTACAATATCAATCTAGGCTATGTTGAAATTCTTTTGATAATTAATATTTCCTTTAAAGATTTAAGGAGAACATTGAAAGGAGATCTATGATTCTGCAAGACAGAGACCAAAGCTCTTTGAGGAAGGCTGTGTATTGGGTCGAGTATGTCCTGAAGCATAAAGGAGCCAAGCATCTCAGGCCAGCTTCTTTATATTTAAATATCTTCCAATATTTTTTGTTGGATGTGATTGCAGTTATCGTTTTATCCATATTGTTATGTTTTAGCTTAGTGTTTTTCTTTGTATATGTAATGATAAAAATTGTAAAACATTGTATTAGAAATTCAAAACAAAAACGTGATTAAATCGTAACATGTCAGTGTTTTAATAAAATAGGTAATTAAAAATTATTTTATATACAGTTATAAAATATGAATATTTATAAAAATATTTTCTCAAAGTAGTGGTTGGAATTTGATAAGTTGCTACGAACTTCTACATTTGTTCATCATTACCTAACATTCCTCTAAATTCGAGCTGGATCAAAAGTATGGTTTTGAAATATATTATAAGCGTATGATAATATACAGATATTTATACATACAGCAACATGTATATGAGCCTAGCTAACAGAATGATTCATTCCAACTCCAATATCTTTGGTTATTAATTTTAGTGATATTTCAAGTGAGAAAATTTATACCTTTATTCACAGTTCTATATTTCAATACTGCTATCACCTGCTCTGGAATCAACTTACTTACTGTCTGTACTGATATTATAAATTTTCAAACAAGAAATACCACTAAAATGGCTTTACTCAAAAATGTTGAAATTGTAGTTAGCAATTCCGTCTACTAAAAGGGTCATATAATTACACATGTAATACTAAATGGTGGACACAATTCGATAAAATATAGCATATTTCTTTTAACCAATTCCCAATTTTCCTCAAACTTTGATCAAAACTAAAATAATTTAGTTTAAAATACTTTTTTTTTGCAATTTTTGGTGGAATGGCCAGCCAAATACCTGAAGAAGTATATATCCGACATATCGTGTTTTTTAATTTTCGCAAGGATAGTAACGCAACTGTTACTACCAAAAACATTCGCGATGTTAATCCAAATGCATTATGCATTCGTAAATATTTAAGGTGGTTTTTCAAGATCAAATCTGGTAATCTTGATCTTTCTGACTCGTATCGATCCTAAAGACCATCAATGTTAGACAATGACGTGTTAAGGATGGAAGTGGAAGCAAACTCGTTTCAGATAATCGAGGAATTGTCAAAAAGTCTTAATCAACCTTGGTCAACCATCCACCGATCCACCACATGCAAGTTATTGCTTCAACGGCACAACACAGAAGCGTTTTTTGATCACTTCGTCAACGGAGATATAAAAAATGGGTCCTCTATGATGATCCAAAACGCAAAAGGCAGCGGCTCTCCCCAAAGGAATCGCCATAAAGTACTGCTAAGCCAGGTTTACACCCCAAAAAGGAACTTCAGTGTGTTTGGTAGATGATTAGCGGCGTTGTTAATTTTGAAGTACTGGAACTTGGACAAACTGTAAACTCAAATGTTTACTCTCAACAATTGAATCGTATAAATCAATCTTTAACCGAAAAGTGGCCACCGATTGTCAACAAAAAAGGCATTATTTTGCAACTCGAAAGGCCCTACTGACGAATCCTGGAAAAAAATAAGGAATTGGGTTAGTCTTATGTGGTGTACTGTGATCTAGTTATCAACTGTCTCTAAAGACATGTGTTAGTTGCTTAACGTTATTAATTTAGTTAATCTCATTATTGTGTGTTGGATTCCGTTTAATAAAGCATTTATGTTTCATGGTATTCCTTATTTATCTTTATAAAAATTTATTAAACTGAATTCTTTGGAATGGAGAAACTTCTTTGACCCGAGAAGCTATAAATTCCACTAGAAAGTACTGCCGCACAAGATTGGAACCACTGGTTTAAAACAATTTAAAATTTCATCAGTTAAAGTAAGTACAGAATCTCAGAAAACACAATTATTAATTAATTTCGTCACTCTATCAGTGTATTAATACATTAGTGAAGCTGATACATGTTTTAAAGCTATTGAGACATTAAAAAAAAAGTTTATGTTAAGACTATTAGTGAGATATTCGCTGGACATAAGCTCAGAACTACGCGCCAGAAATCTGGAGAAACAACGGGAAAATAAATAGAAGCCTTGAGACCACTCTTTTAAGGCCCTATCTGCAGAGGACCATAGGAATGAATCAATCAGGGATGCTTTCATAGATGGATTGTTTTCTTCTCAAATTTGTCAAAGGCCAGTAGAAAACGACACCCTGACCCTTACACAGGCTTCCCGGCAGGCGAGATCCTTGGCATTGGCTCAGGAGCACTCTCGGCTATATGACCTACCAGCCCTAGTTAACGCAGCTGTTGATGAAGGTAGTACTTCACTTCGAGGTAATGATAGTTTTTTTACAATGATTGAATCTCTTGAACCTCAAGTCCTTTAAGTACTGAAGCAATGTTTTTTAAGAAATAAAAAGGGGTATTCAGAACGCAGTTCTTTCTTCTATTGACCATTCTGAAACTTTGACCGTCGAAACAGATGTTTTCGATTTTGTTATAGGAGCGCTACTCTCACAAAACGGCCGTCCAATTTTCATGTTCTTTATAAAAACCTCAGAAACATCAATCATCCATAGAAAAAGAAGCCTGTGCTATAGTTGAAGCCTTTGAAGAAATGGAAGCACTATCTTTTAGTAAAACCTTTTCTTGGAAAATCTATATCCTTCATGTTTCACAACAACAATACAGGTAAAATAAAAAATGAAAAAAAAATATGAGATGGCGATTAGAGCTCTCTTGTCATAATTTCGAAATTGTTTACCGTCCAGGAAAATAAAATAAAGCTGCAGACGCTCTTTCTAGAATTTGCTCTTCCGTTATAGGGAGCATCGCAAAACTAGCAATGCACGAAGAAATCTGTCATCTTATAGACAAGATTGTATCACTGGGTTCGGAGTAAACACTTAACCATATCAGAAATAAGACGAGTCGTATCGTCATGTAGGATCTGTGCTCAAATCAAACCTCGATTTGGAAAATTTCAAGGACGACTGATCAAACCTACCCTACTATTTGAAAGGCTCATTATTGACTTGAAGGGATCATTGCTTCGTCGCGGAACACCGGTTCTGTCTAACGAATTCGTCTACGATAACAAGCAGATACTGATCTATACCGATCTAGATCGGTATCTACTTGTTGTCGTAGACGAAATTTTCTCGATTTTTATTTGCCTTTCCCTACTATGATGTATCTGCTGGGACTGTCATATCTAAGCTTAAGGATCTCTTCTCAATTTTCAGTATCCCATTCTCCATTCAATCGGATCAGTGCTCAGGCTTCATGTCGGCAGAATTGAAATCTTTTCTGTTAGAATTAGAAATATCTTCCAGTAGGACTACAACATATGTTGGCATTGTATGGAAGACAATCGAGTTGGCATTGAAGAATCGTTTACTTGATTCAACAAGTGTTCTAAATGAGATCTACACTCTATCAGATCTCCGCTGTTTTCTGCGACGAATACCACTCCACATGAAATATTCTTCAACTTTCTACGAAGAACTTATAATAGAATAATAACAACCTCTTGGCTATTAAACCCCGGAACTGTTTTATTGAATAAAACGGTGAGACATTCAAAGTATGACTCTCTCGTTGAAGAAGTGGAACTTATTGAAGGGAATCCTAAATACTCTTTTGTGAGATTGCCCGGTGGGAGGGAGACATCAGTATCTAATAGACTTCTGGCACCTCCAGTCTTAATAATAGAATCTGGGACACAGGCGTTATCAAGCCCTGGCGAGGTCCCCGACACTCAGTCTGCAAACAATATTCCATTACAAATTTAGATAAAAAATAATCAAACAATGAATAACAAGCAAACTTTAGAAAACGCAGACGAGACTTGTGAGCCTCCTGAATTCCTAAGAAGAAGTTCTAGAATTAGAAAACTTCCTTTGTACTTGAATGGCAACTATACTTAAGATTGCTCATTAGTTAATTTTTTGTTTTCTTGTTTATTTTTTTAAAAGGTATTATGTAGGTGAATGATATATGATCTACTGTGATCTAGTTATCAACTGTTTCTAAAAACATGTTAGTTGCTTAACCTTATTAATTTAGTCCATCTCATTATTGTGCATATAATTCAGTTTAAGGATGCTTCACGGCATTCCTTATTTATCTCTATTACTCTACAACAGGTGGGAGGTGCAGCCTCACTCACTTCACACGCCCGATGTTGCACCATCGGATTTCCATTTCTTCCGATCGCTTCAACACTTTCTAAGGTGCAAAATATTCACAAATTTGAATGGTATCTAAACAGCCACCTCTTTATATTTTGCTCAAAGACCAATTGATTTTTATCGATTGAAACTTTGCAGACTAGTTGGCAAAAGGTTGTTGATAATGTAGGTGATTACATCATTGATTACAAATAAAAACTCGTTAAAAATTTATGTCTTTGAATTTAATTGTCATTTTTTTACACCGGCCCAACTAATATTCCTATCGACTTAAAGCGTTTGCATTGGAGCGACTGTGAGTGTCTATAATTATATTATGTTATATCTATGTATAACAGATTCCAAATCTTATCGTTCAGTCTCTGATATCGCTGTTTACATTACATATTTAAAGAGAGACTTGAAAAGTAAAACCGTGGCTGTGAACTATTCAGTTTTTTACCAAATTCGTGGAAGCTACTGAGAAAAAAAAGATGTTTTGGTTTACTCTTTTGACTCTATTTTCTGTCAGTTCGGGTGCTAACATTTTATTGATGTTCCCTTTATCGCCGAAGAGCCACGTCAATGCTTTTATGCCTGTGTTCAAGAAGTTGTCAGAGAACGGGCACAACCTCACGATGGTCTTATCATTCACGCATCATTCTCCTATTGCGAATTGTAGCTACATAATGGTGAGAAATGTGATGGAGGAAAAGTTCCTTAAGAGTGAGTATTATTTTAATTTATGGGTTATGCCAAAAAATTGTAAAATACATTTATTTGTGTTTTTGCTTTATTCTAGCACCAGGGTCCTTGAAAGAGGTCAGTAAGTTTACTAACCCACTATTTTCGTGGCCTTTAATTAGAAAACTGCAATTAGAATCGGTAGAGAGTTGTCTGAAACAAAATTGTTTAGGAGAGCTGATGGAAGGAAATTACGAATTCGATCTGATGATATCCGAATCTCTTTATTTGTTCGAAGTATTTATTGCTTTTGGGCATGTCTTCAATGTTCCAGTGATAAGTATCGATGCCCACGCACCTTCTGTTTGGTCATCTTACCTCACTGGGAATGTCCATCCATATTCTTATGTTCCAAATTATAGGATTCCAATGACTGATCGCATGACGTTTAAAGAAAGGCTGATGAACACTTTGCTCAACTTTCAAGAAATTCTTGTGTCTTACTATTATCTACCAGAACAGGTTAGTCATATTTAAAAAAATAAAATAAACTAAAGATGAAATAATAAATCTAAAAACAAATAAATCCGATCGGCGAAAGCTTTTTAATATTTTATGTTAAAGCTATAAATAACTATTTAATAATATACGTTACAATACTTGGTAATGTTAAAATATTATTTGTATAAAAAAAAAAAAACTGTACCATTACAACCCAGATCACACTCAATCGACATATTTTCGACTTATCGGCCTTTGAGGAAACTCATCAGTGAAAGAATTGTATTTTAATTTCGAAATACCCCTCGCACCAACAATATGTAATTTTTTTCTTATTTTTCGTGTTCATTTTCTTCCTAATTTACGTTAAGCTTTTCCTTCTACACGACTGCAAGAAAGATGTAAAAAAATAATTGTCTTCAAAATTATAAACAGTTTTGATAAACTTTATTCTTTTTTCATCTGGTCGGTACTATTAGACCATGTAGTATTTTTTAGATTTTAGTCAGAAGGGGGTCACCCAATCTCACTTAACTACGGACAATGGTCTCCATAGCTCCATAGCCGATTCCTCTGGGGTTAACCTGTCAGTGCCCTTCACTACTAGTTCGGGTCCAAGGAATATTGGGTCTAAATCCAAGGATTATTGCTCTCTTGGAATGAGTGGTTCAATTCTCCCTCTCATTCCAAGAGAGCGTAATTAAAATAAACAATCGAATTAGCTTTTAAATATTTTCCTAATTAATTTACTTTGAAGTTTGTTGTTTTGATAAGTTGAATTTGTTCATATTGTGTTTGTTTGTTATACAACCAACTTTTCTAAAGTTATTTATATTTTTCAAATCAACTTTAAAATCGTCTATCTCTGAGCAGCAATAATCCTTGGATCTAGACCGAACATTCCTTGAACCCGAACTCCTTCGTGTCCCAACTTCACGACTGATGACTGTAAGAACTTGTCTTCTTTTGATATATTGAATATATCAGTATGATTCATCGCTGGTAGATGTAGGGGGGGATTACTGGTGGGTTTCAGGAGAGGGGAGGCTTTCGGGCCATGAAGTTTCCTTCCAAAATGGAAAAAATTATATATTTTTTTTCATAGGTCCATATTTGTTACTGTGAGGGGGTCTGTGGTAAATACGCCCCTCCACCCAAGCACGTCCGAAAAATTAAAACATGGATCTGCTAATGATTGGGATCATTTTTTTTCTGTATGCTTTTTAGTTTAAGAAGTAGAATATTTCGGAAGTGTGAACTTAGTTTTCAAAAATATATGATAATAAATATTGATATGCAAACAGCAGTCAGTGTTCCTCAATCCCTCCTCTTCATACGCCGATTTTGAGAGATTACCAAATTATTAACATCCGGCTAAAACTTTTTAAATAGCTAGATCTCATCATAACCTACAAATATTTTCTTCTTCTTCTTTCATTGGCACAACAGGCGCATGAAGTAGCCAGTGGTCTGCTCAACAGCCTCCAACCATCTCTCTCTATCTTCTGTAAGGGTAACATTGATCCTCAGTTGACGCTAATCCTTCCTACCGTTTTTCTTAAACGACACGGATAGAGGCTAGTTTTGTACTTGTTTGAAATAGCATTAGTTATAATTAATACGACATGCTAATAAATTTGGGTATACATTAAAACTCTTGCATTTTTATCCGTGTTTATATTTTGTAGCGTATTATTTTTGATTCGTATTATGATGGCTCATCTATTTCAGTATGCTTATTTAAACTTGTTATAAATTCTTCTTTAATCTGAAATTCGGAATGTAGGATTGTTTACGAGACAGATCTATATCATACAAGGCAGTACCGGCCTTAGGCTGAGGGGCCCTCTTGAGCGGGGGTCAACAACCGATTGCGTACCGGAGCCCAGCTCAGTCAGCAACTTGCCTTGCACCGGTACCCTTCTCATATTCCATGTAACATTATTAGAAAAGTATATATAACGTTTTTGGAAAATAGTAAAGTCGATCATGTCGGAGTTGAAAAGAAAAATCGAATATTTGCGTATGAAATTGAATATTTTCTATTACATATTTGATTAAGAATTCTTCCACATCCTTTGTACATTTTACAGTGAACCAAAATAAAATAATTTGAGAGGTTGTGCAGTGAAAACAAGCGGAAGAAAGACACCGAGGAACAAAGCCTTACCCACGGTTGTGTGGTAATAGTAAGTAGATGTGGTTGGGGGAACAAGGGAATAGCTGAGCTGACCCTTGCTACGCCGCTTAACTGCACACAGCTCAACTCTGCGGCGCTTTCGGTGGACGGTCGGCCTTAGGGTGGGGCAACCGGGGCACCCTTCTGCAAAGGTACCCACTGGGGGCGCCGACTGATCTTCAGGGACGCTCGCCACTAGTTAGAAATACAAAATGTATAAAATTTATAAAATAATTAATTTTAATAATGTATAAAATAATTAATTTTTGCCAATCAATTAAGCCTCTGTTTTAGACAAATATTGAATTAAATAAAGTGGGCGGGGTGGCCGAATGGGCTAAAGCGTGTGCACTGCACCGCCGTTGCCCGGCAACCTGACATATGAACAAAGACATAAAAATAGTCACGAGTTCGCGTCCCGGTGCCGGTGGAGTCTTTTAAATCCCCGCCCACATCTCCTAGCCCGGGAAAATCCCGTATAGCCTTAACGGCGAGAAAGGGAAGGACCCAAAAAAAAAAAAAAAAAATTGAATGAAATAAAATTAAAATATTACATAATATAAAACAGCTTCAGAAATGAATTTAATTTTTTTAGGGAAAGGGTAGATGAGGACCGGTGGCGCCGAAGGTCTAAAGATACAAGGTTCGATAGGGTAAAGGGAAATTTCCGTAAGATATGAAATGGTTTTTAGTTTCGCGCAACTCTACAAATCCAGATAAAGTTAGTAGGGTTTTATTTCGTTTGTAAGTTGATTCTTCGTTAGAGTCGTGGTTCATATGTTTCTTTTACCCCAAAATATTTTACGCCTTATTACAGTACATAAGATTTTGGGCAATACTACTGCCCTCAAAATTGATTCTAGGGGTGAAAAATTGCATGAAAAGTTATTTAGAGATGCGATTTTTGAAGATTTGATTTATTTCTCTAATCCTAGCCAACTTCTGCCAGTTCTTACTTCGTTTTCTTCTTTTGTAAAGGATTCTTAATCGGTGTTTTGATAAATTAAATTCGGAAAAGTATTGTGAAATTTTCAAATACTAAACATAAAAAAATTATATCTGATTTCATTTTAAAATCAGTCATGTAATGCATGTAATGTCAACTAATATTTACTTACATTTAATTTTTTTTTATTATAGGAAAGGTTGATGAGAACCTATTTAAGTTACAATGGTAAATATAATTTCCCACCATTATTGGACATGCTACAAAATACTTCTCTCGTATTAGTTGATGCCCACTTCTCTTTGGGATATGTTCGACCTTATCTCCCGAACATAGTTGAGGTTGGAGGTATGACATCTCATGCAGGCAGCGAGCTAAACGAGGTTGAATTTCATCTTATTATGTATATATATATATTCTAATATTGATAATTGATGTTAATGATTGTAATCTGGTATTCCAGGAGTTCCAAAAGTTCATGGACGAATCAGAACATGGCATTATATATTTCACTTTTGGGTCCATCATAAATTCAACATCCATGCCTAAAGAACTGACGGACGTTTTCGTATCCGCATTTAGGCAATTAAAGCAGAACGTTATTATGAAGTGGGAATCAGACCATTTCCCAAACAAGCCTAAAAATGTATTAATAAAGGACTGGCTGCCTCAAAATGGAATCTTAGGTGAACTGTTCTTTGTTTAAATTTTTTATGTTAGTATATTTTTTTAATATCTTAGAATTTCCATTATTCATGGAAGATATATAATTGTGTATTGAGATTGAGTGGTTTTGAAACTACGAACAATTTAAGCTTCCGATTTTCGACAAATTTAAGGCTAAATTAATCATTATGTTGGTATTTTCAATTCTTTTTTTAAAAAAAATAAACTTATGAAAAGTGCATTCATCAAACAATTTAATGATTGTATTAATGCTTATTTGAGAACACTGAATACAATTTTAATATCAATTGGACGACTGTATTTATTTTTCGTGTTTTATATTTGAATACTTTAAAATTTTATCCCAAATATGAAAATGCGGGCTCTTGACGATCCACATTCCAGAAGATTATATTCCTCCAAATAGGATTAGAATAGAATTAACATTAATGTTTCCTAAAGTAAGTTTGGAAATAGGATAGCTCAGTGGGCAAGGCGCTGACTTCCAATGCTCAAAGTCATGAGTTCTAATTCGCGTGATGTTAGGTGATTATTTATTCGGATACATCAACCCTGAGATCAGGAGACCTTTTTGGAGACTTATGGGGCACACCCAGCTTCGATAAAGTGGGCACTCTTAATGAAATAATTGATTATGGGATAAAGCCTGACGGTTGGTCCGATTATCACCTCCCTGCACCATTGGGTCTTGAAGCAGCACTTCCTTATAGTATTTCCTGAACTGAAGGTTGGTATAGTTTAAGAGTAAGGTAATCATCTTTTCTCGAGATGAGGAGGAGACTTTCTACTTTAAAAATGACATTCTCAATGTGGTTGATAACTTTGTATACTTGTAAATCTACCTGTACAGACTGAGCAGAATAGTTTTGGAGATAGCCAACAAAGCATAATTGCTTAAGCCAACTAAATTTATATCTATTTATATACCATGTAAATATATTACAGCATAGGTAACAGCATTGTCGGTCCTCGCCACTCAGAGCAGGAAATCAGCTATACCAGTCAGCGTACCTCCATGCTCTTACCAGAGAATTGAAAACTGGGTTATCCTCGATAAGGAGATTGACCGTATTACAGAGGCGTGGTATGAAATGAAGTACTGATACAGGAATGCTAGAAAAAAAAAAAAAAGAGAGCGTGAGAAATTAAACGATTAAAGAAGAACACAAAATTCTTGCATTAAAAATCACTCTACAAAAACTGGAACTCAGGTGGTTCGCCCACGTTTGCCGTATGATTGAAGACGAGAAGTGACGAAAACATTAGTAGGATCTCACGTAGGCTACCAAAGAAAAAGAAATATTCCAACAAAGAACAGTTCTGGAAGGACCTTAATTCCTAGCAGCGTTGTATAGACGAGGCCTTTGCAGGCTAGATATAACATTATTAGGAAGAGAAAGAATCACACGATTATCGAGTTTAATACTTTTTTTTCTTAGAAAAAAAACCTTCACTTTTTTTTTTTAAAGATTGTCTTAGAGTATTAAGGCTTATAGAATAATAATACAAACGATGAACTGAGAGATACTATTTTACTGTTAAATTTTGGAACTGCAGCCTTCCAGTATTTTCAGATTCGTCCATATCTTTTATGTTCTGCATAGTACAATGCTTCTGTTATACTTAGAGCAACTTTCCTGTAGTTTCAGAGTCACCCTCGTTATTTGTTTATGTTATTTTTTGCATAGTCCAAATATTCTATTATACTTAATAAACGTAACTAACGAAGCTTCTGTTTCAGCTCATCCTAATTGCCGCCTTTTCATTAGCCACGGAGGGATACATGGATTGACTGAAGCAATATACCACAAAGTACCTCTTGTTATGATACCCTTTGGCTCCGATCAGCTTTTCAATGCTCATTTTGCAGAAACAGAAGGATTCGCCAAGGTTTTAGATTACAAAAACCTTACAGTTGAGAATTTGCTGCTTGCTGTCAATGCAGTCATTGATAATACCGAGTAAGCCTTTACTACGACAATCTTGCCTCTTTTAAAATAGTTTTAACCCTTTTAATAATAAATATTTCTTTTGAAGATTTAAGGAGAACATTGAAAGGAGATCTTTGATTCTGCAAGACAGAGACCAAAGCTCTTTGAGGAAGGCTGTGTATTGGGTCGAGTATGTCTTGAAGCATAAAGGAGCTAAGCATCTCCGGCCAGCTTCTTTGTATTTAAATATCTTTCAATATTTTTTGTTGGATGTGATTGCAGCAATAATTTTATTCATATTGTTATGTTTTGGTTTAGTATTTTTCTTTTTATATGTAATTATAAAAATTGTAAAACGATGTATTAGGAGTTCAAAACAAAAACTTGATTGAATCAGATGTTAACAGAAAATATTTAATTGAAAATTAGTTAATTTGAATATGTTGTATAACATATTTTATTAATATAAATTTTGAAATGAGTACTGAAAATATGTAAATATTTTGGTTTGAAAGTAAATTGAATTATTTATTAAATGTATATAAACAATTTATAAAAAGATTTTTTTAAAAAAATAAAATAATAGTTTCCTTGACTTTAACCTCAATATTTCACTTGGGGCAGTGGTGACACTTACTCTCCAATGATTATAATGTCCTAGCACGAGCATATATTAATTGAAAATCTGGAGGTGAGGAATATTTCTTATCTGTAATATATTTACCCGTTTACACCGTACCCAAACCATAAAATGACGTGGTGTAGGTGTTTTTGGCTCGTACATGTTTCTTCAAACTAAGTCCTGCAAGCATTTCCAATATGGCCGCCAAAGCTTAAAGCTTACAGAGAACAAATCATTAGGACCATTAAAATTACAAAAAGTGTATTTATTATATCGACGGTAGGCATTCAAAATCTAAAGGCATTAAAAACATCACAATTTCTCTGAGCCTTCCAGTTGACAAAACGACTAACTCCAATTTCAACATTTTTGAGTAATTTCATTTTAGTGATATTTCTCGTTGGAAAAGTTATATCTATAGAGACTGTGAGTAAGTTAATTCCAGAGTAGGTGATTGCAGTGTTGAAATATAGAACTGTGAATAAAGGTATAAATTTTGCCACTAGAAACATCACCAAAATAATAATAAACAATGTTAAAATTGGATTTAGCTGTCAGTCGAAAGGCTCATATATAATGACAATAGTTGCTCATCTCTTTGTCTAGTTCTGTATTTTAGTGTGAATGAATACTGTGACACAGTTCAATTTATGATTATCATGGGAGACACCATAAATGTATTCACTTTTGCAGAACAAACAGACATGCTTTTAACTTATGGCGAGATACTTAGAAACTGTGGTGCTGCTGTTCGAAGATATCGTGAAAAATTTCCTAACCGAAGAACAGAAAATCGTAAAACCAAAAATTCAAGGCCATTGAATGACGGCTTAGGGATAAAACCTATACGACTAAACGCCAGTCGACAAAGATTTCGACGAACTGCAAACGTTGAAGAAGAAATACTCGATGCTGTTCAGTTATCTCCTACTACTAGTACCAGAAGATCGTCACGTCGTTTCCTGTAATAATATATTGACCGATGTTATATTATTATATATAGACCGCAACCTGTACTAAATTCATCTCAAAGTATATCTGATTAGAGTGCTACCAGTGGGTAGTTTCTCAACAAGCGTGTTTCATGTAATAATATTTCTCTGTACAAATTTACTTGATGTATTTATACTAATACAGTTGTAAATATCATAATAAAAGTTTAAATTTAAAGTATATCTAAGGTAAATCATCTCCACAGCATTATTGAAATATATTTTGGGGGAATGTCTAGGATTAAAAGTGAAAGCTATATACACTATATTTTTTCATTAAATTTACTTTTACACCTTGTAACCCAATCATCACTATTGCCCAATTCATTTTGAAGAGTGGTTGATGCTCGAACAGGATTTTAGCTTTATCTCAAGTAAGATAAAATAAGTATGAGGGGTCAATAGTACAATATTTTAACTTTGCATTACATAACTATTAACTCATTATAGGTTAAAACTATATATGACATCGATTTCATTAAAAGTTTTGTACTTTTGGGAAAAATAATTTCCTTAAAAAAAAAATTGTTTTTACTTCAATTCCTTTTCAGTTTATTATGAGCATTACATAGGTATGTTCCTTTATCAAATCATCAACAATGTAAAATCCTTCTTACGCTTACAAGCTTCTTCAATTCAAGTCCTCAGTATATTCCCATTCCACAAGATCTAGACCTTCCGACCTTTATTTACATCCCTTCTCAAAGATTACATATGCATCATTCTAAAACTCCTTTATTGCTCGCGCTATCAATTTCTGGAATTACCTCTCTATCAATATACTTTCCTATTCCAATTCCAGTCCCAAAAACAATCAGATACTTCCTTATCTTTTAACATTATAGATTTATTTTATATCATTCATTGTCAAATGATAGAACTATTCCATACTGTAAACTTCGCTAGGGTTATTACAATAAGATATTACAATATCTTCCTACTCTTGATGCCATTGAGTGCATGTATTTTTTGTTTTTTACTATTATTTTTTTAATCTTATACAACTAAATTTGTATATATATTGTTACAATAAGATAATGATGTATTTAAATATTATTCATTATTTAAATACTCTGACGTTTTATATTGACAGATTCGACTTTCCTTGGTTAGCAGAAACACAGAGCTTATTTCAAAGAACTTAATGTATTTTTTATTTAATTTTTCAAAAGCGTATAATTATAATGTTTTACCACTGTCCATAGTTTGAGGTGTCTAGTCATAGTTTGAAGTGTTTTGTATATGGGTTTATTTGTTTTGTATATAGCTTGTTTAACTAATGTTTTCTTCATTTTTTTCATTTGTGTTATTGTTTTTATTTAGGCCAGATGTAACATTTTAATTTTGTACTATTTTGTTATTCTAAAGGAACTTAGTACCACAATAAAGTTATTTCTATCCATCTAAAACATTTGTCATCGACCAAAAGAAGAGAAAGTTAATCCCACTTAAAATTTGAGGTTTTACGTTTCAAGATACGTAGGAGAATCCATAACTCCAATAAAAAAAAATCCATCCATTAGCTATAAGCCGTTTTGAGATTTTGTATCGAAATCAGAGGTCATCCGAAGATCTCGAACTCAACTTTATCATTCGAATTTATCTTTTAAAAATGGCAGCCGAAAAATCTGTTTCGCTGAAGACTGTAGCGCCTAAACGGTTATAGTGACTTTAATGAAACATTACCATAGTTTTCTTTTTTAAGCCCAATAAAATTATGTTTATAAAATGCTTCACAAAAAGAACAAAGGTACGATACACGCAGAATTTTATTTTCAAATAACTCAAAAAGTATACAATTTTTGATCATGTGTATGTTTATTTGTCAGCTATAATTTGATGCGTTTTCAATAAATACGCTTGCTTATTAATAAATATTTAAATCTGGCAGTGTGTAGGATTCATGGATATAATAGACACGTTAATGGTTGTAAAAAAAATAAAATAAAATAATCAACAGAGCTCCAAGATAACATTTTCATATCATACTTGTTTGGATAATATGAAAAGCGAATCAACTTTTTAGATTTATTCAGCCATTTTAAATCTCCTTAGATTTTTTTATCCTTCATTTTAACACTTTTTATGCCGCCGTTTTGAAGGATTTTCACCACCCACAGATCATTTATTTTATGTGCATCAGTCATTTCGCCTACATATTTACTTGTGTATGTGTCTGTATTCTATGTAGAACAGTCATGTAATCACTTATTTACACTCCACCAGACGGGCAAATATTTTTCTATTATTATTATTTTTTTGACAACGTGTTTGATATCTGAAAAATATTTTAGCAATAACAACATATAAGCGCATACAGGCTCGAAAATCGTCAAGGTTAAATTTTGAGTTTGAGATGGATCTAGGTTTTTGTGCTAAGCAGTCCATGGTGGTGGAAGATTTTTTAGTATTTTTATTGCATTATCTGAGATTTTTAGGATAACATAATATGAGAAATCAATACGCGATAGCGCAATCTTAAAATCGATTTTAGTTTCAAAAACTAGGCATTAGTTAAGTAGTGGGGTGTTGAAAAGTTGAGACATACAAAAGGCGTTCGCCAACACAAATTTAATTTAACGAGGAATTTCCAACTCAATTGGAATAGCTCTAGTATACAATTTTTAAATAATTTATAAATGAAATTTATTAGTGAGTAGAAATTTCACAACATAAATGAATGAAGAAACAGTAACATACTATTTTATCTTCTTATTTTCTTCTTTATATGCTTTTCTTTTCTTTATTATTGGTTGTTGTTATGTTGTATTTACTCATCCCAGATGAAAGCTTTAAGCGTAGGCCGAAACTGTGAACCAGAAGAAAATAATTATTTTTATGTGTGTGTACTTTCATCTTTGACAATATCCCTAACTTCTACAATCATGAAGGGACATTTTCTTTAGTATAAAATTATTTTATCATGCGAATAAAGATATTTTCGATACACATTATCTCTTAATTGTATTAAGATTTTGTAAATTAGTAATTGGTTATAACAATCAAAGGCATTGTCGTAAATGCTTTGAAATTAAAATCTTGATATTGTTTCAAGGATGTTTTCCTAACCGAACCCATTCTGACCACTCAACTTTTTCAAGTGTTTTAACTTTTATAATTTTAAATTATCTTTCATGTATAAAAATAATATAAATAAGTGCGCACTCGAAATAATACGTTATTATACTGCAAATAATGCTTTCAATAATTAGAATATTACATCAGAACATTGTAACAAGGGGGTCTCAATGAAAAAAATTTCGTCACCCAATTACGAAGAATTAAGTTCGTTACCACTTCAAAAAGGAAAAAAAATAATTTATTTATAGTGAAGATAACGGCAATTGATAAGTTATCGCTTCCAGTTTAACAAATTAGTTCCTGAGATTATATTTATATGTATCAGTTACATTAAAGCAACAGGATCGCTGCTACACCGAGGCTTAGGTGTATTTCAGGTAAGCTATGAACAGCATATGTTACACCGACAGGAATTGGTTCTCCAGTAAAATCTACAGCGAATTATGGCTTATTTAAATAGTATTATTAATAGTAATGAACACAATGAGAAATTATTATAATACCGTATGTTGTACAGAGCAGTAACAGTTTTAATTAAGTCGAACAATTTATAATATTTCTTTTAATAAATCAATATTGCTATAAGAAAGAGACAAAAATGAATTTCTACCCTGCTGTGGTAATACCACAGGATATTGTGTTTAGCTTGATTTGTTTGTAGGATTGTAATTATTTTTGAAGCGAACGGCTCAACCGATTTTTAAGTGTGATGGCACAAATTACTAACACGGAAGGTTACGGATATAGGTTCACCAATTTCAATGAAACTTTTTTCTTGTGATACTAGGTCAAAAAATATTATACTGATATCTAAGGTTCTTTGCCAATGCGTCCAAGTAGCGGAGAAAAAAACAATTTTATAAAAGTTTTAAATTTTCTAATCTTATTATTATTTTTTTATTAAGACAAAATATATGGTTAGGTGCAAAAATGGCGGTATTGCTGGTGGTATCGAAATAGAAGGTAATAATTTTGAACAGGTAGAAAAGTTTAGGTATCTAGGGCCGACGATAACTATAAACAAACGAAATTGAAGAAGATATTAAAGTTAGGCTGAAGGCGGAAAATGCTTGTTATTTTTCTTTGACAGAACTACTGAGCTCGCGTCTATTGCTCCGGAACTTAAAAACTTGAATCTATAAAACCATTATCTTACCTACAGTTGTTTGTGGATGCTTAAGGTTTTTGAAAATAATGTAATGCGTAGAATATTCGGACCGATGAAGGATGAGTTCAGACAGTTACACAACGCCCATTTGCGTGAACTATATCCAGTTAATATAACTGAGGTGATTACATCGCGGCGAATTAAATCGGCTTGTAAAATTGTTGGGCTTAGTAACGAAAAAATTTCCAAAAGATTAATATCTGCTGTACCGAATGGTAAACGTCCGAGGGATAGACCAAAGCGAAGGTGGGAAGATTGCGTTAAAGCTATCAGAAGTGACTGGGTTTGGACAGCGAACGATGGAAGGAAGTGTGTAATGGGCGATTAGTGGCGTCGGCATCGAGCCTTCGGTTTCGCTAAGCCTTTTATTATATTTATTATTATAATTTTTTATCTTTGACCTGCATAGACATCTAGGTTATAACAGTCAATATAAATCGATTGTTAAGTAATTTTATTAATTTTAAGTATTTTTTTTAAGAACCACAGCGATTCGTTTCATGAGTCCTTATAAATTGGTATTGAATCAAAAAATATATATATTTTTGACTTGATTTTGTTAGAGGATTTTTCTTATTGCCGTTCTCTAAATTCATGTCATTCGTGTCTTTCATAATTTTCTTCTAATGCAAGATTAGATCGTTGAACTTGAACAATCGTTGAAAAACTGAATTACTACTCTTCCAAACCATATCAATTACTTTTAGCTTTTACGTCTTTATTTGGAATAAATAAAAAAAAAAGTCAAACATTTTTTTTTTGTATCTCTAGTTCTAAATAGTTTACAGGGATCTGGTTTGTACCATTTCGTCCAGTTTATAGGACCCTAAATCACTAATGTTGATGAAAAATTAAGCAAACAACATTTATTGTTGGAGGAGCGAATTACAAACGCCAACTTTCTTCCTCCTTAAAAAAAAATTTGAATCCACTTTCCTTCTTTGGTATGTACTATTTGTTTCAATATTATGGTCATACTTATACATGACAAATATAATTTTCTTTTCTATTCCTGACAAGTATCTGTAGATGCACAAAGCCTGGTATATTGTCCCGGTTCAGTCAGAGAAAAAAGATTAATAGAAGTATCAGATGTATATATTGTACACAATAAACAAATCCGGGATCCCATTAAATATTTTCAAGGGATGAAAAATTGTTGGGGATAAAAAAGGAAAAAAAAAAACATAAAAATGTTAGCTTAATATTTCTATAAACACACTTGAATCTCGTAAGAAATATTAATTGAAGGCAAAATGCTTAATATTTTGCTAAAAATATTTATATAAAAAATAATTTAATTGCAAAAAATCCTGAATAAACAAACAACTCCATCTCATAGCCCAGTGTTTGTACAAATTGGTAGATTGTTGACAGTTATAAATACCGAAACTTGAAGTAGTAGTCGAATAAATTCCACTGTATGTTACTGTTCTTTTCAAATACATTCCGTCCTATGTAATTGTGCATGCCAATAATTATACTTCACTATATATTACATTTTAGAAAAGTCTTGAGTTTTGTTCGGGTTTCAAAGGCAGCCGACTACAGCGTCTACTTTTTATATTCACAGTTTTCAAATTCACCAACAATCTACTGATATGTTTAAATGGACACGCAGGTACATTCGCTTAGTACGGATAGGATTATATTATAGGATATAAGATAAGACGATATTATTTCCGTAGTCAGGATTTACTTCGAGTTGTTTCTATGACAATTTAACAATAAAGAAAAAAAAATATTTATATCCTTGAGGAAGATCTCGGTCTGTGGCAATAGACAATAAGCCAGTTCCTTCAAAAACACATGTACGGTACCTCGGACTATACTTGGACAAAAAACTCACCTGGAACATTCACACTAAATTAACAAAAACAAGAACTGACCAGACGATACAAAAAACTGTCACACCTTTTAGACTACAGATCAGCACTCAACTTACAAAACAAGCGACTAATCTACAGCACCATACTAACACCTATTTGGACATACGGAGCAGAATTTTGGGGTTCCGCAAAACACACACACATAAACAAAATTCAAACCACACAATCCAAAATACTTCGTAAAATCGTCAATGCTCCTTGGTTTATTTCAAACCACACCATACTCACTGACATGAACATACCAACAGTAAAATCCTACATACACAACAAGTACACAAAATTTCATTCTTCTACTCTCAATCATCCAAATCCACTTGTTCTATCTCTATCTTCCTCCCTCGATGATGAGCCTCAACGACGACTAAAAAGGCACCTTAGTCTTCTGCTGACAAGTTAAGCAAGTATCAAGAATACAAGAAGATAGAATAAACGCCAACACATTTGCTTGATGCGTTACAACGCAGTGGAAAATTTAATGGAAAATAATATGCGTAATTTTTCAAAATGTTAAAAATGCAGGAAATAAGTAACTCATATCCTCAGGAATTCTGCTAAGAGATACGAATGTATTGGTTATATTTATATTTTAGGGATATCTTATGAATAACTAATAAAAATACTAAGTATTTAGCCATTGAAATATTACATTGTTGTATAATATTTGTCGACTGTAATATAAAAGCTTATCCATATTTTTTTTAAACTTTCTTGGCTATTTTAATTATGTATTATATATATATATATATATATATATATATAATTTGTAATACACCACTTTTATTGCGTGTTTTAATGTTTTCAACTGTTTAAGTGTTTTAAATGATGTTATTCCTAACTCTCGATTACTCGATTGTATTTTTAGTAGTGGTGTTTACCCTGTTATGTACTTAAGGATCATGAATTGCTTAATTCCAAGTGTTTCGATACAAATAAAATAAAATCTTTAATTTATATCCAAATATGCCACATGTCCAAATATGTCCAAGTATGTCACATTTTTTTATTTTTATTTTTATTTTAAACAAGAAGGTATTATTGTAACAATTTTATTAAGGGTTCTATCGTATTAGAATGAATTATTCGTTTTTTTTTCGACACTTAAAATCATCCAAACCACGTTTTTATCCTTTTTGGATTTTTATAATTTGTCTTATGAAAAAAAAAGTTTTATCAACACATTTGAAAGAGGCTGATGACATCATCCGGAATATTGAGCCAGTTCTAGAAAAAAACAGTTGAAACTACATCAGAAGATGTTACTTTTGAAGTGAAAGATTTTCGTTGAAGTGAAAATTACTTCGCAATCATTTCAATCTCTCGAAGAAAAGGAGTTACCAAGGCGGCCTGCCAAGTTTTGGGGGTAGATGAATATGGCCTAGTATGTGTTATTCTTTTGAGAGTTTGTAACAGATTGAAGACAGTTTTTAAATTTTAGGAAACTACAAAGTTAATAGTAGGAAATGATGATGATGTAACCAAACTACCAAAACCTCTAATATTTCGGAAAAAGAAAAAACTAATTCAATTTCCATTCAGCTTGGATCTTGTTGACTGAGATCACAACTACGTTTTTTATTATTCACGATCCTATGTTTTACACTTTCATTTCACAATTTAATTGAATAAGTTTCGTTGAGTAAAATTACCTACCTAGAGTCTTTCTTTTAAATTAAATAATTCTGAAAATTGGTGCTGCAATTTTTTTTTTTTCATTGTTCCTGTTCAAAATTTATTTAATGAATAATTTAGATAGGTATTAAGTGTATTCAAGCATAAGCAAGAACCAAATAAAGAACCCTAAAAGTGCACTTTTAAAAAAATAAATTAAAGTTTTGTATTCCTTTTTACCTAAAAATGTAATTTAATTAAAGAAATTAATTTTTTATTTTTTGCATTTTTAAAGTTTTTTTAAAATCATAATTCCTTGATAAAAACTGCCAATATATGTGCATATCTGATTGGAAATAAATTAAATATATTAATTAAGTGGTGTCAACTTCTGTTGTGCTTTCTTGTCTACTACTAGTACACTGACGTATACTATTGGGGAACATGTTCACGAAAATTATTTAAAAAACGACCTAATATCAATGTTTAAGTTATTTTAGAATGAATTTATGTCACATAAGAATGTTGTTGGACAAATATAGCAAAAAAAAAGAAAAAAAAAAAAGGAAGCTCGAAAAGAATCTAACGAGTTATATTTAAAATTATTGGAATCCCTACAATCCAAAATCCTCCGTAAAATCCTCAATGCTTCCAGGCTTTGTCACAAATAAAATCATCCAAAACGACCTTAATGTACCATATGTTTCCGATTTGGCTCAATCCAGATACCTATCCTTCCATAATAAACTTCTGAACCATCTGAACCCTCTTGTTTCCAACCTTGCTTCCTCTTCTATTCCTGATAACCTCCCGAGGCGTCTGAAAAGAAGATGGCCTCGGGACCTTCTAATATAGAAATATAATTGGAGTGCTACCAATGGGTAGTTTCTCTTAATGTTGTACATGTCATGTTACTTGTTTCATATTTACTTATTGTATTTATCATTTAATACAGCTGTAAATTTCAATAATAAAAAAAATTATTTGAAGAGTATCACAATAGTGTCTACTACTGGTGACTTTACCCTAGTTATATTTCGTCGGTTTATTGAAAAATGTTACTAAGTACATTTCTCATGTAGCTGAAATTTTTTTTAAGAACGGTTTTGTGAATTTCAACCTTACTTATAAATAATTAAAGATTGCACTAGAATAACACTAAACTTTTTAAATATTAAATGTAGTTTTCAGTGATTTAAGGTTATTAAGTGCCATTTGATGACATTTAGCAATGAACCGACGATTTATTCAATAATTTAATTATTACTTTTTTTTAAATTTTAGATATTCAAGATGAAAGGTGCAATTTGTTTCTTAATATTCTCCATTGTGAACTACTGCCATGGATATAACATATTGGTGATGATGCCTTTTCCATTGTACAGTCACACCAAGTCTTACTTGCCACTATTTATCGAATTAGCAAAAAGAGGGCACAATGTAACAATGGTCAGTCCGTTTCCATTAAAAGAACCAGTTCCGAATTTCAATGAAATTGTCATTGAGGACACTATGAAAGATAATGGTTAGTATATTTTTTTTATAATATAATATTTATTTGATATAAGTTTATGAGTTAATTTAAGTTAAATTACCTAAATTATATGATTTTTTTTTATTACAGAAGTTTCATCGAGCAACATGGATCTAAGAGAATTGGATGGATTTTTATTTCAACTTTTTGGTCTAAAACTCTTTTGTAAATTTATGCTCGATAACGGTTTCAGTGCTGAAGGGTTGAAGACATTTTTAAAAGATAAAGATTCTAAATTTGATATGGTCATTACTGAGACTTTTTTTTGCCAGGAACCATTTATAGCTTTAGGGCACAAGTACGGGGCTATTCAGGTTTCTGTTCAATCAATTGAGATATTCATGGGATTATCTCGCTCAACCGGAAACCCGCACAATCCGGCTTATGTGCCCTCTCACATATTTCCATCATCACATCACATGAATTTTTGGGAAAGGTCAAAAAGTACATTTGTTAATCTACTAGATTATCCTATAACTCATGCAGGATGGATGTATATGGTATTTTCCTTTCAGTTACTATGATCTCTATTAATTTATTATTTTATTTTATGCTAACAGTCCATTTTTTTTTTTTTTTTCATTTCAGGACCATTACATGAGAAGCCAATTTGCGCCGTACCCTGGATTTGAAAATTTGCCGCCAATAACAGATATGTTTAAGAATTTTTCTCTTGTTCTACTTGACAATAGTAAGGCAATAACTTACCCCCGCGCGTATCTTCCAAATATAGTCGAGATCGGAGGACTGACCATCAAAGGAGGGGATAAACTCGATAAAGTAATAACATTTGAAACTAACTTTTATCAGTAACAATCTTTTGTCAACTAAATTGTGTATTAGGTCTGCTCCGAAACGAATTTTGAACTTCAGAAAATTGTCAGAAGCAAGGAGAATACGGTTTATTGGACGGAAAACTGTATTACCTATGCGTATAACAGTTTTGCTGATAGTAAAAAATCGTATTGAAACTTATCCATTATAAATGAAAGTATTAAAAACTAAAAAAAAAACTAAAAAAAATATATACATACATATATATATATATATATTTATATATATAATATATATATATATATATATATATATATATATATATATTATATATATATATATATATATATGTATATATACTTAAATATTTTTATATTACAAGTAAATTTTCAGCTTCTTATTGCTATAAGGATCAATAAATGTAGAATGTTTTTCAACTATTTCAGCTTCAAAACTGAAATATATACACATATAACTTAAGATATGAATTATAGTCGGATAATAATAATAATAGTCGGATAATAATAATAATAATAATACTTTATTTATTCTGGGACGAGTCCCTTTAGAATAATACAGATGGGCAGATAATAGGTCATGAAATACACTTAAATAACTTAAAACAACTGTTTATTCCTTTATTCCTTTATTCTGTTTATTCCTTTTATTCAAAAACGTTTCGATCCCTGTTTTTAGCATAAATAATGGGATCCTCTTCAATTGGTGATGGGATCCTCCTGGAAAAACAGGAATTTTGAATAAAAGGAATAAACAGAAGTTGTTTTAAGTCATTTAAGTGTATTTCATGACTTATTATCCGACTATAATTCATATCTTAAGTTATAATATATATATATATATATATGTATATATATATCAATTTTGTACCTCTTAAGTACGATCACTCAAGAGAGAGACTATAACATTCATGATTTTTTAATGAGTGCCATGAGCTGGACTGCCATGTTAGTGCTTTTCCTTCTAGATTTAGATTGATTTTTTTTTCCGACGAATAACTTGTTGGTGTTTTAAGAGTATTTTATATTTTGTTCGTTTATTTTTTATCTATTGTATTCACCGTTTTTATCTGATTTGAAATTATTCATTGAAGTTAGTTTCAAAACGCATTTACAATTGTTTAAATTAATTAATTTAACAAACGTGCCAAATCAATCGTGGCGTTTTATTTCTACAAATCAAACCTGAAAGGCTCTGATTGGGTTCAAAGTTTTGACGGTCCTATTCCCGAGTTTTTAACACTCCATTATATCGGGATCACTTTCTTTACGAAGATAATCTAATAATTATTTGAATACATAAAATGTAGAATATTAAATTAAGACTTAACTAATTTTGTCTTGTGTTCGTAAATCTGGCCACTGGCAAAAATTTTAAACTAACAATTTTGAATTTATTTTTCTAAATTAATAAATATTTATGTTAGATTTATCTATTTTAAATTTGCTTTTAAACATTGATTCAATCAGATCTTTCAACTAGTGCCATGAATTTAAATAAGATTTTATGAATGAAACAAAATAGTATTATATTATTATATATAGTTAGGTTATTATTTAGGAGAAAATTTAGATGAGAACTATAAAACAGGCTTGGTAAAGGTAGTAGGTCTGAAACTCAACCTAAATTATTGATGTTTGATTCTTTATTTAATGACACATATTTTCTTATATATAGTGTTTTGTAGAAATTTACTATTGCTTCCTTTATTTTCCTATGCTATATAGTTATAAATTGTTTTAGGAATGGGAAAAATATTTGAATGAATCTGTTGATGGAATTATATACTTCAGCTGGGGATCCCATTATCCAACAAAAAATATTAAACCTCACGAACTGACTGCTTTCATGTCAGCATTCGGAAAGCTAAAACAAAGAGTACTAATGAAAGTAGATGAAGATACACTGCCGGGGAAACCTGATAACGTAAGGCTGGCCAAATGGGTACCACAAGCAAGTGTACTGGGTAATTATTAATTAATATTATGTTAATATGTAATTATAATTAATTATATCCATAATCATAAAGTTAAAATATAGGTCTTAATTCATATTTTTCATTATTATTATTCATATTTTTACACAGTACATATAAAGGGGCATTACATTACTATGAATGAGTGTCGACACAAGAATCGAGATTTTTTAGTAAATTTTGCATAATTACTTTGCAAACAAACTTGGATAATATTACAAAATAGATTAATTTATTGATTAATAGACAAGATATTATATACCTTTCCAGGTTATTCATGAACTTCTCAGAAATAATTAGATTTTCAATTTAATGTTTGCGGATCTGAAGCAACTATTTAATCAATTATTCTCAATAAGCTTGGGTGCACCAAGTTTCAGACTGAGCCTCTTAAAAGAATGTCTTCAGGGTACGAACCAATAACATGACTCGATTGTCCACAGACATGAATGTAAACATTTCTCCAACAGTACTTAATATGAAAACAATATTTGTTTATAGAAGATTGTTTTATTTGATTTTATAAAAAGCCAAATAAGTAAGAATTTACTAGCATCCAAATCTCCAATATCACTGGACTGAGGATTGAAATACTTATGATTAGTTTTCCTATCATAAATTTTTTTATAAACCTTTATTCTATTTTTAAACAAAAAAGAAAATTAATGTCTCATAATATGTCTTAAATGAATTATATTTTAAAATAGAATAATATTTCAATATAATGTTGCTTAATGACTTTGATATGTTTAAAAATTAATGTATATGTTATAGTACTTAAAATTTCTATTTATATAAAACTATTACTTAGCATTTTGAGATTAATTATAGTTAGAAACGTACAGCACTTTAGTCTGTAGCTTAACATTATTTACAATGAGATTTCTTACAATAAGAAAAATGTCTATTAGAAAACAATCACGATTATTTTGCGTTATAAATTGGGATTGATTTTTTTTTTCCACTGTAATTATTTAATGTGATACCAAGATCAGCAAAAATACAGTTTATTTTATTTTTTTATTTTTAGGCCATCCCAATGTCCGTGCTTTTATCAGCCACGGTGGACTTCATGGTGTTTTGGAGGGAACTTATCACGGTGTTCCTATCATAGGAACTCCACTTTTCCATGATCAAAAGAGCAATATTAAATTTTGTGAAGATGCTGGTTATGGCATATACATAGATCTAAATACTATCACTGAAGAAATTCTCTTGGATGCTATTAATAGGATATTGACAACTTCATCGTGAGTTATAACATTTTGTAATCATACTCATTTATAATTAACATAATGGTATTTATATTGTTCATGGAGATAGCCATAGCAGAATATACAATACACAGTAGCATTGGAGTGTTTATTGCTAGCCGATATTTTAACCCAAAGGTTTTTCGAAATGGAAGTAGGAGGACATCAAAGGAGGTTTGCTTTGGATGGCAGAATTTAGATGGGAGGCAAAATAATGAAATTTTATTATTAGGTTTCATAAAAAATATCTATTTCTACCTTTTGATTGTTTTGATCTTAATTGAAAAACTAAAATGAGTTAATAACATGAGATCATTGAATAGAATGTAAAAACTTTACTCATCAGTGAATTAAATCACAGCAGAAAATAAAAATATCATTTATATGAAAAAATTAGAGTTTTCATAGATAAATGCTTTACTCACCATATAATCAATTGACTTCCAATTATTTTAAATAAATTGTAAAATGCTTCTAATAAACTATAATTTTTTTCACAGTTATAAGGAAAATGCTCTAAAAAGAAGTAAAATCATGAAAGACAATCCCATGAGTGTCATGGATAATGCAGTCTACTGGGTGGAATACGTACTTCGGCACAGAGGAGCTCCTCACCTAAGATCTGCGGCAGTAGAACTGTCTTGGTACCAATATCTCCTCCTTGATGTGATTGTAGTTTGGGGAGCGGTCTTTGTTGTGGTTGTATTATTGTTAAAGAAAAGTATTAAATGCATATGTAAAGCTAGGAAATCAAAAAGTAAAAAAGACTGATGAAAACTTTGGTATGAAGTCAAGAAAAGAAATGACAATAAGTGATTGTGCTGTATTTCGGATATTTATATTTTGTATATTTTATTTATTATAACCTAGTGGCATTAACTGTCAGATTGAATTTAATATGTACATTGATGTTCTGTCATCTTATATTTTTCTTTAATGTAAATTATTATTTGCTCAATAATGTGGTTTCTTATAATAAAATATTTAAGTAAAAAAATTGTAATTTATAATTTATTTCCTGTTATCAGAATAAATTTTGTGTACCTATTTTTATTTTACAACATTACCCTGCAATCCTTATATATATACGTTGCCATGGCTTGTTATACATTCCTAGTAACAGATCACTGCTGTTATAAAGGATTTACAATTTTATTTCCCTTAGCTCATGTTCTTATTTTGTTCCTCATTCTCACCATTATCTTCTGTCCGGCAGCCTTCCTAGCATACCTTCTTCTTCCTTAGATGAAGTGGGTTGGAGTAATAACATCCTTTCCTTTGATTTCAGTTATTCATATTTCCATTAGTGTTATGATTACAAATTCCTCAAAACATTCGGAAAACTGGATTTAATGGTTTTTGATCCCGAGGGGAGGAGGGGAGAGGAGTAGGTTCTTGCACCATAGACCTTGGGAGGAGAGGAGGGATAGGCATCCCTGGTGTAGATAGATGTTTTTCTACTTTGAATTCAGTTTTAACAACAACACATTTTTATAAAATCCTTCAATAGTGTGCCTAGAGAAATTATTTGAGATTTTAGGGAAAGTATTGATGATGATACTTATCTAAAAATGATGGTAAGTTTATTTATTTTGTAATATACTATCATAGGATACTATCATAGTAACTATCATAGGAATAAAAAGCCGGATTTAATGTCCGAAACTTACCTGTTTCGCGAAACATTTACAATTTATAATTATTATTTTCTTTACTGAATACATCGTCTGTTTGTGCAATATGAAATTTTATTCTTTACATTATTTTATTTTTTCAAATTCAGGTCATGTTCTGACATCTACTCTTAGAAAAAATACCTGCCCTCCAGTTTATATTAACAACAACCAAATTTCTCAGACGAATATGATATCTTTATAACAATCAAGAACTGGATGTAAAGTAGTCTTTTAAAATTTTAAGGCTGAAAAATAGTGAGAAAATACAGTCATTAATGATGTTTATTAATTTTACTGGCGGCCCGAACCAAGTGAACCATTTGGGTCATTATTAGAACAATAATTTGCCATCGCTTAAAATATAAAAAAATAAATACAAAATGCAAGGCTAGAATTCAGCGAGTGGAACCAATATAATATAATCAGGCTCAGTTCTAGTTTTGTATTTGTTTTTTCTTTATATATTTTTTTGTCCCCTTCGTCGCTATTACGTTATCCCGGGGCAAGGAAAAGGGTGGGGGATTAATGCCAGAGTTAAAAGGTTCTCCAGCAGCGGTATTCGAACTCGTAATGATCGGATTATCATCGTCATTAATGATTACATTTCCTGACTATTTTTCTTCCTTATAAAAATCAAATGTAATAGTCCATTTGCTTTTAAATCAAAATTTCTGTGACTCGAGGATATTTTTTTGGAAAAACACATTTTTAGCCATTGGTCTGTCTGTCTGTCTGTCTGAGCTAAGATTTTCTCGGGAACTACTGAACCGATTATGTTGCTTCTATTTTATTTTTTAGGGTTTTGACTACTGATGCCTGTGACAGAAATTCGGTGCTCCATGCGTAATAGCTTGCGCTCAATAAATGAAAAAAATGTTTTTCTATAGACTGTAACTCAAAAACGGCTCTAACGATTTTGATGAAACTTTCCTATAATGTTCTAATCATTGTTCTTTCAATTTTCGTATATAGACTAAATTCCCGAAAAAATTCAGGAAAAAAAGTTATAAAGAAAAGAAAAATGTTATGGGGCTTAACTCTCTAAGTATATATTATACGGTAAAATTTATAATAACACTTTTGAAAGATAATTAAATTACCAACAAAACAAAAAAAAAATCATCGGGATCGACTAGTATTAGCAATGATACAGCTTATTCTATTTTTTACACATTTTTTAACCTATCATTTTCCTACCTATACTAGGTAAGAAAAGTATAGCGTTCGGGTCCAATTCTTAATATGCGGTTTTCGACGGATCTATACGTTTCAGAGCCCCCTGAATTTGAAAGGTAATGAAATTCCCTACAAAGCCATATAAAAATCGTCCATTTTGGACAACAATTAACGAAGTTAAAGCTATTCAATTTCCAATGTAAGATTACGGTTTCATATCCTGGTGTCAGAAAGGGTTTAATTAGAGAATAAAGATGACTAAGTGATAGTAAGAAAATCTGTTGCCCGCATCACACAATCTTCACTATTTCCTCTACTTTTAACAGAAATTATTGTTTGACAATAATAAGCTATGCCCAAAAGTTTTTGATCAGCAATATTAGGAAGTATTGAAATTTTTACACTGATCTACCTTAAGTCGGTTTGCATTGGTTTAGTTTATCAAATAAATCGTACTCAAATCTTATGTTTGATCAATTTTCAGGAAAATGTGTCTAGTTCAATTCTTTTTTGTTTCTTTATGAATATATGTAAAGATATAAAAACTTTTCTGAAATAGGTAGGAAAGTCGTGTGAGTGGAGACACCAGATATATTTATTTGTTTATTGAGTATTACAACAATCTGTCACATGGGCATTGGTTATAGTGAGGTAGGATGACATTCACACTATATGTACAAAAAATATAAAATAAATAGAAGCAAAATAACAATAAATAATAAGTCTAATACTTTCAAGCGTTCTTTTCATCATTTTTTTTTTTTTTTAATTTCCTTATTTGAACAGCAATAATTTGAAATTCTTTTTCTTGTAATAATAAAATAAATTCAATACTGAACTGCAAACATTGTTACAAATCATCAGAATATATTGCATCAGCTTATATTTTTATCATGAAGTCTAAATTAAAAAAAAATGTATCAGGTGCCGAAATGTTTTTTATTTTTATTATTAATATTTTAGAGATGGATATATGGTTGACTGTTGAAATTATAAGGATGAAAAAAAATCCGGACATACAATAAATGTTTACTATGTTTGCCAATTTGCCAAGGCGAACTTTATGAACATTTACTGCATATCCAGATTGTTTTTCGTCCATATTATTAATATTATTTGGATAATAAAATATAATGATTGTTAAGAACTGATATCTCGTATCTTCAAAATAACTGCTTTACTTTAAGACTATAGCGTATTCAAGGGAGAGAGTTTCATACCATTAAAAAAAAAAATCAGAAAATTAAATTTTTTTAATTGGTCTATATTTGTTTACATGAGTAATCTGAACTAATAGTCCGTGGTACAGACCTCTTTTTGCTTCCTCACTACCGAAGGTAGGGAAGCATTGTGTTCGGGCGAGAGATTAAAAAATTTTTTTTGCTCAGAATCGAAAATTTTCACTCGCGTTTTACGTTTCAGACATCAAGGATCAAATTTGGTTCGGTGTCTGTCTGTCTGTAGTCAAATCGATGTGACGGGCAAATCACCTAGTACCGTTCATCCAATCTTCATGAAATTTTCAGGAATTATGCTGATTGGTGCCTAGATGGTCCCATATCAATTTTATCAAATTCCATCCAGCACTTCCGCTTAAGCACGCGCAAACGTATATTTTTAGATATGCCAATATTTCAGAAAGGGCTAGTTCGATTTGGCTCAAAGTTAGATAAAAGGTAGACTTTGGTGGAAAAATAATGTAGTGTCAATTTCATTGAATTGTGTCCAACACTTTCTCTTATATGTGCACTACTAATCCGCCGTCCGCCGTCCGCCCATTTTTTCTGAAACTACTAGACCGATTTTTTTCGAATTTGGATATAAAATCAGAGGTCACCCGAAGATCATCCTCCTTCAACGACATTACTATTCGCCTTCTAGTTTCAAAATGGCGACCGAAAAACCTGCGTTGCTATAGACTGTAGCGCCTAAACGAATGTACCGATTTTGATGAAACTTCGCTAAAGTCATTTTCTCTACGCCCTCTAAATTTATCTATACTACATACTTCAACGAAAAGAAGCTCAAAAAAAGTTACGAGGGATGGTAAAACCAAATTCCCAATAACTCAAGAAGTATACACATTTATGTCAATATTATATATGGTTTTTTAGAAGTTTACGGAATTTCCTAAAAAAAAAAAAAAAAAATTCTTCAAAACCGGACAATTAGGAGCAAAGATATGGTCTCTAGTTTTTTTTAGATATGCTATTGCAAAAGGTTTATCTTTTTTTTTATTTCTGAATGTGTTACTGAAGTAATGCTATTTTTTTTAGCATATTACTGATTAAAAAAAATTTTAGTCTAATAATTAGAATCACCTTTTATTTATTTTTCTTTATAACTAGGAATTTAATGTTACTTTATATGTATAATTGTTTGGAAATAATATATCAAAGAGAAATAATTTGCAGTGTTTTTTTTCAAATTAATTATCGTTATATATATATATATATATAAATCTTTCGTGCTGAAGCCCCTCCTCCAAAATTAAATCTTGATTCGGTAATGTATATACTATTATTAGAGCATAAGTTCGTACGTAATAATTTTCAACTTTAATGTGTATTCAATTCTATGTGTATTAAAGGTGATATTTTGTAGTCTGCAACTGATATAAGTAGTCTGCTACTATGGAAAATAGCAGATGAAAATAAAATATGAAATTATTCTAATAAAGCATAAAGAAATATTGAGTTTCTTGTAAAACAATAAATAAATTTATACATAAGACCTTTTGAACTAACAGTATTGAAATTCATGTTCAGTATGCATGTTTTTTTATTTATTTATTTTTTTATTAAGCATAATCAAGTATGGAATATTCAAATACGACCCTCTGTTGTTGAATGTTGAAGAGTAACTGTAATCGGCTATTCCAATTCTGCTTCTCTCAGAGATTTTATTCTCATACGAAAAATTGTATACCTTGTAATATACAACAGAAACGGTGAGGAAGCTATTCTGGCCTTACTTGGCAGACGTTTTTAAATTATGAACATCCACCTGAAACTTCGTGAACAGCTTCATCCCATGTAACCTAAAAATTTTATTTACGAAAACTTTTGGAATTGGGGCATTTTCAATCTGTAGATTGGCAAACTTTATCAATTTAATTAGGAACTAAAAATTCGTAAATACCCATTTGCTTTTCACTTCAATTGTAAGATAATTTAAGCACAAAATTGAGAG